GTATGCCGAGAGCTTTCCGGTTTTTGTTTTGTCTGACTCGTCCGCCTCTCAAGTATTGCCTATGAAAGACGGTATACCACTGTCTGTTTTAATTCTGCGTTTGATATGTGAGTAAAGTCTTTGTGGATAATGCACACAATCCAGTGCTAACGGTCTTTCATACTCTGTCCAACTTTTATCAATCTTATACTTACAATGGTTTCCGATTCTGTGGTATTCCATCCGAAACTCATCCCTCCCAGTCACAGTAAACCGGTCTTATAAGTCCTTTCGTTTTCTTAATAACCTAATGATTTCATTACCAATTCAAGGTGGTTTATGCGATAGTTTTCGAGGCGTAGACCAAGGTACAAAGGGTGCATCGACGCAATCTAGTGTATCCTTAAATTCCATCCAAGCCTTCTCGACGTCTGGCGTGTATCAGCAGATCAGTCAGCTAGGGTTGCTGCATTTCGGATTGCAGATATATTCGCTTTCCAAAAGTTTAGACGAGCAGCTTTTGACCCATGTATGACAGCGTGAATCCTAAACATAAAAGTGATAACTATATGGTCACTACTGCCTATCGGCGCCAAACACCTAATTTCATTGACATCCTCCTTCTGGTGTGTCAGCACCAAGTCTACAGTGGGTGGGTCATATTCAGGGTAGTATCGTGTTGGTTCATCGATATGCTGCACAAGTGCCCATTGAAGTCCTGCCAGTTTGAGTTCCCTGTTGAAACAAGTGTACAAGGTAGTTGATGTCAATTCCTCCCAATTAATATGTCAACTACTATTAGGCACCTATTTCTACTACTCCACGTCCTGAGGTGATTTGATACTAAATCGTCAGCCTGGCTAGCAGGACTTCTATAAATAACACCAGTTTGTCACAGTGCCCGTGTTCAAGTTAATGACACAACTTGCTGTATAAGTGGAGTTAAGTCTACACCCACCAACAAACCTGTTTCAGCTACAGCCATCACATCAGGTTGTTGTCATTCAGACAACACTCCTAGTTCAGGAAGCTTATTCCTAAGACTGCAAGCGTTCGTATAGCATACTGGGAGACCTGCGTGTTCATTCGACTTACGAACAGAGGTCTGGGTGACATTGGTTTCCGAGACCTCACCATCCGAAAACCCAACGGTTTGAGGTCTTTTTCACCTTTTCATATCCAGGCCTTTAATTCAGACACAGCTTCTCTTCTCTTAATTCTAACTTCCAGAGACCAGTAGGGCCTAATACTCATCTTTTTGGCCTTGTTTGTTCACTCCTTGTTGATCCCGTGTTACCTTTTTTAGCCATGAGGGATAATGTTATTAGACTCCTTTAGATGAAACACGCATCAAACGACATTTATTTCTCACTCAGTGTGAGCGACTAGATTGGTAGATACACATCTAAGTGTTCAAATGCAATAGCTTATCTTTAGAGTTGGTGAAGAACAATGGGTGACATGAGAATACCAGATGTAGCATAGCAGCAGAGAATGTTCATTTTAGGGCGTTACATATTCTCCTCATTAGGATTTCTACCAGATGATCACCTTTGAGCGACGCATTCGTGTGGCATCTTCTTCGGTACGGAGATGGGTTGTTCACTATTAATTTTAAATGTCTATCTTTTAAAGCTCGAAGAATAGCCATTTTTAATTAGAGCCTTCCTCAGCACATTAATCTCTTTTTAACTGATTCACAGCTGAAGATTCTTTGGATTCTGGTTTCGAAAGATATTATTAGGTTCTGCTTGCAAACGATGATGCAACCAACAGTGAAAGTTTTTCATCTGGCTGTTCCACGCTGCTTTTTATAAAATGAGCTGTTCAAAGTTTCGTCAGCCTCCTTTGTTAGCTGGAAGTTGAGAAATGAGTTTGTCTGTCCGGTTTCTATTTCAGTTGTATACTTGATGGTTGGGAGGCTGCTGTTAATTACTTGGATTATATTATTAAGGTCACATTTTTTTATCACAAATGATAAAACCGTCATCAAAATATTTATTGCACAGAGAAAAGTTGTCAATGGTGGGTTTAAACGAACCATTGTCTGAACTTGCCGTAAAAATACCTGTTCGTAAGGGATCATAGCCACACCACGTCGCACCAAATACTTAGGGCAGCCCGTACTCGGAAGTAGGTCATTTAATCAGCTGATACCCACAACTTACGCCTAGTGAGGGAGCCTAAAATATTGTAAGTATTCCTTTTGCTACACATTTATGTACTTTTCTGCTTGTTAAATATGAGTGGAATGCACTGATATATGCACGAATAGCCAAAAATAATGTTCTTATCCGGACGTGTAATGCGTACAGTTGCAACATGCACTAATTTGTCTCAAAAATGCCAACCTACACTATTGAGCACTATAACGACTTTTGCTGATGGTTATTTACAGTCGAGTTCCACAAACGGTGATATCATCATGTGAGCAGAGACTTTCATACATAAGATAATTAATAAAACACTAGAATGATGCTTGTTTATCATTTCGTTGTCTTAATAACTATTTTCGACCATATCTGACTCATATAAACACAGTACTGTGTTTCTAAAAGTGCCGTGAGTATATGTTTGAAAGCAGTCGAGACCTCTGAATTAAAAATATTGATTGACGTTAGTTAACACAAAACAACAGATTTGTAGTATTTCTTCGAAATTCAACTGATTACTTTTAGTCTTAATGGTAATAATCATGTATACATCTCTTGCAATTTGGGTTCCTTCTGTAGAATATTGCTAATTTGGGAGGATTAATGTTTTTGGTTGCTGAAGAAAGTGATTTCCACATTCTTACTGGATTTGCATTTTATGTTCAATCATTAATAAATGTATTTCTTTTGTTTGCATGGATATTCTGCTTAATAAGACAGAGTGTTAACTTTAGCCAAAACTGACAGTTTTCACTAGTTGGTTTGTAAGGATTAGATCTGTTTTAAGAGTTGACCACAGATTGATATCAGTTAGTGGACCATTGAAAACAGCTGTCCAGTAGTCTCTGGTTTTCAATGGTTCTCTAACTGATATCAATCTGTGATCAACTCATAAAAAGGTGACAGTAACAGAATTTATGAAAATAGGGTTATTTATGGCAGTGAGTTGTACATTTAGACGAAACATTCGTCTCTAAATAGCACTGCATGCAAAATGCAGTCCATTTATGCTGTAGTGATAAAAGTACAAGCAGCAATTATTACCCACAGTGGCATTTCGAAAGTGTGAAATAAAGATTACCTTGCAGTGCAAGTAAATCAATGTGTTCACTTACCTTAAATGTGTTGAGGTCTCAAAGCGTTCTGACTTACCTGTCGCTTACTGACAACACTTAAACTGAAAGTGTACTTTCGTCTTCTAGATGTCACAAGTGCCATGGGAAGAAAACAGTATTCATAGGGTTATGCACTTCGACACGCGATGCAGTGCAACGACGGAATTAAAATGAGTCCAAAACAGCCAGCCACAGAACACACTACATTACTATCAAGTCGCATCAAAAAGTGTTTCCTGGACGTCGCATTACTTCTTAACTGTTCTCCCTTAATTTTCGCCTATCCTTTTCACTAATTTCGCAAACTAACGCTTAGTTTCCACCCGAGTACCTGTTAATAGTGTTACGGGAACACAATCTCATTGCAACAGAAAGAAAGCAGACGCAGTAAAAAACTGTGTAGAAGCTCTACCAGCCACTTTTCAGCTTTTCGTTATTGCGGTACGACAAGTGCAAAATAGGGCGCAACGGAAGTCCCTGTCTATTAGTTTTTGGTAAACCTTATGGTTGGGGTATTACTGAACCGTTTGGTCAAAGTCTGTCTTAGACATTTTCAGAAATAAGTTGATCGCTTTTCAGTTTTCTCAATATCTCAGTTATTTACATTTCAAAGATTCAGTGATGTTTTTCACTCCACATAATGCTCTAGACCTGTAATGTAATTAGCTGCAGAGTGAGGTTAATCAATGAATTTTTGTTCGTCGATTCAACACCTGACACTTGTGATTGGAATGACGCAACGCTCATACCGGAGATAGGAAAAGCATCAACAAAAAACAAGTAGAAGAGGGAGACTGAGAAAGAGGAAAAATATATGTGTATATAAAACAGACTGTGAAGCTGTGTGACGAAAATGACATGATTATAAGCAACAGTTTATTCTCGAAACATCGTCCAATTCCCAGTACTGCATCACTGTGTGATATTTAAAATAACCTTATTTAATATGGAATTACATTCTAGAGTAGTGCCCAAGTTCTACATCTAAATTAACAAGAATTTTCAAAATTTCTCACTTAACTGAAAACGTTGGATGAAATATTTTCTATTCATTTTGTTAAGCACCTAAAATGAGAACTATGTAAATGATTACACTTGGCTGTCTGACAGAGATGGTGAAAAATATAAGATAGAATTGCCTAGTTCTTGATTTCGGATGAACTTGTAAAGGAAAAATTATTTTGAAAATGAGGTGTGAAGATAATATTATGGCAAAAATTTGTTGCATTCGCCATTCCAGGCATACGATTCCGTCGAGCAAGTGGTAATCCGAGTTATGGAAACAATATTTTACTTACTTACTTTACTTTGATTTACAGCTTGATTCCACACCGTATTTTCAGTACAAGTGTGGAATTTTCAGCATGGATACCGGTAGCCCAAATTCAGGCCGACCATAGATATCGGGTGTGCGCCGGCAGGGGATCGAACCCCGGACCATGTGCATGGTCGGCGAGAGTCCTAACCACTGTGCCACCGACGCACAAAAAAATATGCGGAAAAAGTACCATAAGATAACTTTAACCTAACTTTTATAGTTATAGTGCCTGTTGTAGCAAGTGAGTTATTGAAAATCCACAGGATCTATTTCCAAATAATCAAGAAGACTAATCAGCTTGGTTTGCACTATCTCTTGCGGAAAATACCGAGCGACGGACTAATTTTTTCTCATTTAAATTGTTTGTTTGTTGCCAACAGATCAAAACTTCACAACCATGAAGTGAGCGCAAAGAAATAAGTTGATTTGCACTAGCTTCTACAGAACGATATTGGATATTGGACAACATCTCTGGAAGTAAGAATTCAAGTTTTCTCAAGGCCATTGTTGTATAACGGAATGTTCTCATCAAGTTGTAATAATACGAAGCTGAGAACGAATATAAAACTATGCATTCAGCGACTTGAACATGTGCAGAAAAAGAAATCCGAGATATCGAAGAAGAATCGGCGAGATATTGCAGACCTATTAAAAGACGGTAAAATTGATCGCGCTCGTATAAAGGTGGAACAAATAATTCGGGATGACTACTGCGTTGAAGCTATGGATATCATCCAAACATATTTAGAAATGATAAATGATCGATTTGGTTTGGTTCAGGATTCAAAGTAAATTGGTTTGCTTCGCATTACATAATTCAGAGTTCCAGATGCGTCTCTTGAAACTCCTATTGCAACAGTATTATGGTCTAAATCTCGCATCAAGAACGAGGTGAAAGAGTTGGACATTGTGGCTGAGCAGTTGCTACATAAATTTGGTAAGAGCTACGTTCATGAGTGCTGTGAAAGGGCAACTATGGTTAATCGCACTGTCATGACAAAATTGAATTCTATTGTGCCTGGGGCAAATCTGGTTGAAATGTACTTGGTTAGTACCTTATTTCTATTTCATATTTGTATCGTTCAACTATGAATCTTGGAATTATGAAGTCATAATTTTATCACTGATTTCCTGAATAGATAGCACTCATTGCTCGTATTGAAAGATTGCAGATTATATAGATTGAATTTGGATTTCAGATTTATATATGTTGGTTTGGCATGGAAGGCTTGGGGCCTATGTTAATCTTTTTCTAGTAAATTTCTATGGTTGTCCAAACCCCTCTTGAATGACTCGAGTTTGCACCTGATGTAGTAACAGGTCTGAATGAATGTGAAAGATGATTTTGCATAAGAGTATCTTAAAATTTACGGATATCTAGCGATTACATTTCTCGAAAGTATTGTGTAATTCTTCTCGGCCTTCACAAATCCTATGTTAGCGTTATTTTCCTGAGGATGGTGTGAGAGAATTGTGCATCAGAATTGATTTATTCACATCTCGTCATTCTCATGTGAGGTCCATTGCCGCTGTCTTGATTTGATGTATGGCTGAGATGCAATACTTAGCACATACAACATTGTGAATACCCGCAAAAGACTAGGTAGAGGTGCAAGAATTACTTCCCATTGTAGTTGAGTCTTAGTCTATTGAATGTATTGTTGATGATAATTGGTACAGATTGCTTTGAGTCCTATATTTACACTTAGGTAGTTGTCGGACTACTGTTACTTTTGGGTTTGATCGTTTAATGATGCTAAGTTGTATGTTCAATGCTCTTCTGAATTTTTACGTAATATTCTACTTTAAAGAATAAGTTATGTTCGTATTTCTAAACGTATGTGTTCTATTTTACAACACAAAAGCTATTGAGAATGCTTGAGTGGGTCAGCTGGAATTTTCAGAAAATATTGTGTTCTTAAGACACCTGTTATAAGGAGTTCGCACGTTTTCGCTTTCACTGATAGAGAAAGTCACATCATGTATAAGTATTATAATACTCCCGGAGCAAGGCTGTACTCCTTGTTTTGCTTAGAACAGCATCTTTGTAGAACCTATGCATATCATTTTATTGCTGTGGAGATTTTTACTCATTGGGATTAACCATGAAAATAATTGGGGATCTAATGTTACGTCAGTTCAAGGAATGAAGGTTGGGTATATCAATCTACTAACAATTAGTTCATTCTTCAGAATAAATTGTAAAGACCTAAGATCTCAGAACTAATAATTCTATCTTTGTTTCAGTTAAGCAGGTAGTATCCATCCATTACGTAGGATGAGAACAAACATGTATGCTGATGTTAGATGGCGTTGCTAGTTTGAAGTCGTGGTTTTCTCAGACTCAATAATTTCACTGGGACTCCAAAGATCTACACAATGCCTTAAGCTACTTCACTGGACATCCTGAAATATGCATAAATCCAGGTTAATTAGTGACAGTTTAAAGAAATCATCTGGAGTGAAGAATTTCGGGACAAAATAACTCATGCGTTAAAGCCAACAAATAGATGAGAATAAGTTTTCAAACCAATGACTTTAAGTTCCCTAAGAATCCCGCATGGATAACTCATTCTCATTGTAGACTAATAGTGGGTTTGTGCGATATTGTTTATCTTCAGAAATGATCAAAAATTGTGTGAAATTTAATTCAAGACAGTTAGAGGCTATTTGGGTGCATGAGTGGTTGAGGTTATAACTGTCTTTTTTGGTAAGTAAAGTGGCACCAGTAATTGTGTTTCTTTTGAGTATTGCTAAACAGTTTGGTGTCTTCATAATGATCTGTTTTTATTGTCATATTTTTTTCAATGCGTGGCAGTTATGTTTATAAAGATTTTGGAATATAGATCCAAAAATAAATGTATCATTTTCGTATCCTGCTTGATACATTTTTTCGTACTTCAAAAATATTATGTCTTTTCCAGGTGAAAATAAGTGTTTTTAGCTGTTTTCGGTTTTCGCTAATAATAGGTTGAAATCGCCAAAAGTTATGACGTTGAATTTACTCCGGATACACATGTCATAATGGACAATAACGCACCAGGTGCCGATGATAACTTAATTGAATTCAAATCAGAGTGTTCTGGTGGTTTACCTAGTATACCCACTGATTTTGGAGCTTGCAGTATGCCCTGGCCTAATACATCAGTCTCTGAGAAAGCTCCCTATCCTACAGACTTTGTAAATGACCCTGGTGTTCAACCACCTCTACCGCCGGGTGAACCGTCAGTTTCAGGAACAAGTAGTATGTTTTTCATTTTTAAATTAATTTCAGTATTTAATTGTTAATAATACCCTGAGTTCGTTTACTGTTTTTGAAGACATTTTACCTCGCCTGTTTGCTCAGTGACTTACAATTTGATAATCTGTCATATCCAGTTTCGCATCTTCTACTGCAAGTATTTGCAGGATATAAGTTAATATCCTTACTCTAATCTGCTACCACGTCTTCTGGGTTTTAATTACTTTCACCTTCCTGTTGTGAAATTTACATTCATATGTTTTGAGAACTTATCTATTTTATACTTAGCTTTGTAATTGCCTAGAAGTTTTAGTTTTGTGGTGAAGTCGTCAGTTCATGTCGTTCACACCAAGCTTATTTGCCGTTCAATCGGTGATTAGTACAAGTAGTTTATTTTGATGTATATTGACTAGATTTTGTTGTCACTCACTGTTTCTCTTTCCAAATTTTTCACTGAATCCCAGTAGATAGTCATATGAATACGGTTCCGTTAAGCGAAGGAAGGACAGCGTTACCCGTCGTTGTCTTTTCATAGTCTCCCCTTACACCCCAACCGACTGTAGTTCGGATAAACTAGTGGATGGTTTCTACCATAAAATGTCTAGTTTGCTGCAAAAAGCAAAACGCTCAGATATACTTGTTTTAGCAGGCGACTTTCTGGCCAAGTTATGCCAGACTGAGAAGTATGTAGGTGGTACTTACGGATTTCCCTGCCGACGAACTGACAGCGGTGATTGCCTCCTACAGTTCTGTTCAAATAATCACCTGGTTCTAATTAGCATTAACTTCAGACACAAAGGCAGACATTGTCTAACCTGGCAACCACCGTCACCAAATCAACGTTGGACTCAAAAAGACCATATAGCGATGGTATATCGTTGATGAGGGTCAGTAGAAGACTACCGCTCCTTCTGGAACACATGCGTAGACTCTGATCACGCACTGGTTCGCGCACGTTTATGGTTTCGATTAAATGGACATAAAAAGCTTGGCAGCAAAGCAGTTACGCCCCCAGCTAGATCAATACACTGAGTCCTTATTTAAGGAAGAAATAGCAAAACGAGTATCAGGTTGATAGCAAGACTCCTCCTAAGGAAGCCTGGCACGATATATGGTTAGCTGTAGACACAGCTGTGAAGGTTGTTAATGACATAAAACCAAAAGTTAGTAAAAGCCAATGGATTTCTACTACCTCATCCGAACTGATATACGCATGAAGACTGATTCCTGCGAGCTCCGAAAGTGATGATGAGGAGCGAAAGCTACTCAAATGCAAACTAACAAGAAGTCTTCTCAACGACCGTGGATAGTGGTGGTTGACAAAAGCGAAAGAGGTGGAAAAGGAATCGGCGATTGGTAACACTAGATAACTGTTTAGACTTAATAGGGAAACAGGTGGTAAAAGGCAAATAATAAGTGAAACAATCTCTGAGAAAAATGGCACCATAATTAGCTCCTAGGATAGACGAATAAAACTCTGGAAAGAACACTTTAAGGAGCAGTTTAATTGGGCTACAGCCACTCTCAACTTACCTAGCATCCAACAACTCTCTGAATGACTCCATTATAGATAAGATTTTATCAAAATAAAATAAATAAAACTTAACAAAATAAAATCTTATCTATAATGGAGTTATACTCTACAACAGTTCCCAAGTTTTATACCTCTCTGAATGAGATATAGACACAGGTCCTCCGTCCCTAACTGAGGTTACAAAAGCTGTCGCTTGTGCGAAACGGGGCAAAGCAGCGGGACCTGATGAAATTACTCCAGAGGTGTTTAAGGACTGTGGAAACAGCTTACTGTCTGCTTTAAGTGAGGTACTAAGCAGCGTCTGAGAATCAGAGATATTCCTGTTGGGTTGGAGTAAGTCATTGATTATCCCGATATGCAAGAAGGGAGAGAAGTCTTCCTGTGATAATCACAGGGGGATTAGCTTAACCAATATGATATCTAAAGTTCTAGGCTCAATAATCATGCGTAGACTATGTGGTGCTCGGGAGGCACAGACACAAGAGAACCAGGCAGGCTTCAGACCAGGAAGAGGGTGAATTTATCATATCTCCACCCTTCTACAGATCCTAGAACATGGGTATACTTATTGGCGTGTAACAATCATATTTCTTGACCTGAAAGCGGCATTTGATTCCGTCGGCCGAGAGGTACTATGGCTATGTTTGGCCGTGATGGGAATGCCGAGGAAATACATCGAACTGATCAAAGCACTCTACTTAAACTCATGCAGTCAGCCAGGTGAGAACCTACGGAGAGTTGTCATCTGAAGTGTTGACAACTAGTGGTGTCCGTCAGGGATTCCCACTATCCCCATTTCTATTCAATTTCGTCATAGATGTACTAATGGATTTAACCTTAACTCACTTCAGAGACTCAGGGATTGACTCGTTACCAGGGAACAATCTCATTGACTTGGAATATGCGGTTGATATGGTTCTTCTAGGTTAAGAGGCTGACAAAATCCATAGTCTTCTGAGAACCTTGATCTGCAATCTACAAATGTTTTTCATGCGATTCGCTCCCGTCATATGTAGAATGATGCTACGGGACTGGAGTACATCGACTCCTAGCTAAGAGATAGGGAGTGAAGTGGTTGGTGGAGCGTGTTGACCACTTCATTTACTTGGGAAGTTGCATCAACCAACACCAGTGGGTTGATCGTCGATGAAATCTCATCACGGATACAGAAGGCTCATTTGGCATTTACCAAATGAATCCATCTTTGGCGTATACATGATATGCAGCTTTCAATCAAAGGACGTGTGTACTACTGGACAGTTCTCTCTGTCTTCCTTTATGGCGGTGAAAGTGGAAGACATGAAAAGGCTAGCTGTCTTTGATCATAGGCGCCTGCGTCCTGTCTCCCGTATTAAGTGGTATAATAAAGTGAGCCATATTAAGGTTAGGCGTCGAGTGCTAGGTAAGGAGGGAAATTCAGTAGACAAGGTTGTAAAGCTACATCGATTAAGATGGTTAGGACATGTGTTACGCACGCCTAGCCATCGTCGGCGGGCAATGTTAGCTGATATAGGAAGGATCAGGTTGGAAAAGAGCTAGTGGTAGTCAAACCAAAACAGAGCATAATTCAATGAAATTCACAACAGTTATTTTAAGCCAGTCATTTAGGGAGGTATAGACTGCTGTCTAGTTGGGGTCCTCGCTATGGTAAGAACCAACGAAGGCTGAAGACAATTGGTGATATGGCTCAAAATCGTTCCCAATGACAGTGCAGATGCATTCACTCTTTGTCAACTGCCATATTCAATAAAACTCTGTTGTTCTTCTGTATTACCATTCTTTCTCTCACACCTTATTTTTGTTTATTATCTCTCTTTACTTTCTTTTCTTGTTTTGTGTGACGATCCATGACGACTTCTTGGCACTCGAGGTTATTTGGCTTCAAGTTTGTCAGAATAATACACAAGTGTTCGTACCTTAAATCTAAAGAAGTCTAGCGTGATTTTATTCCCTTTGTCTTTTTGTTTGCTTTATTTCCTTTTATGATATTTTTATTTCCTTATCTTTTTCCTTTTTCATTTCGTCTTGGTGTGCCTATATGAGGCATGTTAATGAAGTTTTATCAGGTTTTTAAATATCAATTAATGTTCCATGCACATATTTTAAGACTGTATACAGCTGAGTAAATTTTACTTGTCGTTTAAATGTAGCACAGAATATGTGGTTCGGCAGGGGGAGTATATACATTACAGGGATAAGGTGTTATGGTATTGATCAAATGGTATTAGTCATGTTCTTCAGGTGCGACGGTGGTCCAGTAGTAGCATGCTCGCCGGCTGGGGTTCAGCTTTCGGCTGAGGCACACCTAAGCCGCTCTTAGCTAGTAGTAAGCCTTAAATAAGAGGGGATTTTGAGCGTGAGGCTAGACGAAAAACAACACCGCTTCCATCAAAATGCAAAGCAATGAAAAAATATTTTTCAAATAACAGGCTGATTTACCCAGTCTTATGAGGTGCATTGAGTTTCAGTTAGTTGAATGTAATTATCAAGATAGCCAAGTTGATGTATTATTTTATCTTTTAATAACTCATAGCAAACAGTTTGTGTAGTATTGATTAGGTCAGTTTTGTCGCCATGATATAATCTATTGGGTTCAGGACAGTCTATTTGACCCAACAGTTTTTCGTAACAGCTGTTTTTCATATTTGTATCAGGTCTTTTCTCTTATGTTGCTTTTTTCCCCCAGAAACCAATGGAGATATAACAATGCCTCCACCGTATGATATGACTATGTCCAATGGGCAAGGTGGTATGATGCCTTTTAATTACAGTGGTCCTGCATCAATGCCGCCACAAGATAATTTTTCTACACCACCACAAGATAACTTTGGTGCGCCACCACAAGGTAGCTTTGGTGCACCACCACAAGGTAACTTTGGTGTGCCACCACAAAATAATTTTGCTGCACCACCACAGGATAATTTTGCTGCACCACCACAAGGTGGTTTCAATGTGATGCCACCAACAAATGGCCCTACTGATAATACGGATCTTCCAGATGATGAAAAAGCAGATTTTGAAAGTCTAGCAGAGCGTTTTGAAAAGCTAAAGAAAAAGTGACATTCATTCACCTGTCATATTCCAACTCTTTTTTTACAAAAGATTTCATTATTTAGAACTCATTGCTCTTGATCTCTAAATTGTAACAGTAAGATTCATTGAAAATATAATGCTGACTTTGTTGTACGTCTCTATTTTTTACGGTAATTAGTACATAACTTTAACTTTGGGAAGTTTTTATTTTTTTCTCTGATACGCGTTTGTCCTGCATATAATTATATTATCTTATTTGCCTTCGATTCAATAACTGCTAATTCAAAAATTTATTATGGTATATTACAATGCACTTATGCTCAAATATGCTTTCGTTTATGCATCTATTTCCGACAATAGGACATGCGTTGATAATTATTTTCGTGCTGATATCAGTCTGTGATGAAATCTACCTTGGAATTCATTAAATCCTTACAAACTTAATATCTGAATGTTGAATGTGATGTTCTCCATTGCAATGATAAACTGTCATTGGTTTCCTTCATATGGTGTTTATTATAATGTCCGGTGAATCTCCCTGAAGTTTTATTTACACTGAAGCTATTCCATTACATATAAAAAATGTACTGAACTGTAGGAATTCAGTTTGGATGATTCTGTATGTAGTAATGGGATTATAAAAAATTAAAATGTTAGGCATTTTCGATTAGTGAAATAGCTGTGGCTAATATGTAAGTGGAACAACAGAATAGAGTGTTGATTGGAATTTTTAGATGGAGCTATAAATAGAAAATTTACATTTGAGGCATACAGAACAATTATTTTTCAGTGATCAAAGTACGGACAAGTGTGCATTGCTACTAGTTGTCATTACCTTAAAACAACGCAGAAAGATGGAAAAGCATAGTGCAACAATAAAATGAACACGTCGAAGTATGGTCAGATAGAAAATATAAGGAGTTTGTAAGGGTAATGAAATTTCTGAGAATGTTTAAGATAGGTTAGGACAATTTTTGGACTGTTTCAGTAGGAGTATCAATCACTAACTACTCTCACTATGAGGGCACCAGTCAAGAAGCTAATATTTTATAGTCTATAAATCAGAAGTGAGTTGCAGCCGGTCTTACAGTAACTTGGTTTGTCATTTTCCTGGCTTATATAATGTGATTGCCAACACTTCATCGTTCCATCCCTGCTTATTGAAATAAAACTCGGTGATATATACTGAGATGCGTGTGGCCTTATTAAATCCCATCTGTGAGTGGAAAAATGAATTATTTCATTCAAGTGACTATGAAATACTGCCAGCTGAACTTGATCTATGTTCCATGTCTGAAAATGAAAATTTTAGGATTGGCGTTAGTTTAATTTCCTCGAATTAGAGGTTGAATATCTTAAGCCTCCACTACCACTAAACTACAACACAGTGATTCTGCATTAACGATGAAAGATAACAATCTACAAATCCCATTTATACACTTGGGAGAAAGAACAAATTGGGTGAAGAAATATTTTTCTTTTCAGTTAGATTCTCACCAATGACTCCACAGTAATACATAATTTTACATTGAAATTATACCCATAAGTGAGTGATTGTGTGATGGCCTGTCGCTAACCCCTATAAGTTAACTGGTGGTGTTGAATTCCGTAACTATTTGCACCTCTCCTATACCTTAAAACGGATATTTGTTATTGTCTAATACCACCACATGATCGGTATAGTTTCAATGTAAAATTATATGTTGTTATTATTATTGTTATTAATGCTTCTTGATTGTAGCGTCGAAATAGATGGCATTCTTATACGGTGTCAGTTAAGGAAATGCATTGTGATCTATCCCACACAGGTTTATCAAACTTCTGAATAAAACAATAATAATAATTTGCTTTATTCCAAAACAGTACTTGTGATACAGAATGGAATTCTCAGCATTTTTACTACAGTATTGCATCCAGTTAGTACATTATCAATAAATAGAATTCTACATAGATTGAGGAAACCACAGTTCATTATTACAACAATACATTGGCATGTCAGTAGCAAAGGTAAAGCTGAAACAGTGTTTGAAGGTGTTAGAAAAGTGGGAGCTGTCTTATTAACTGGCGTAAGCGAGAGAAAGAGACAAAGCAGCACATAACGGAAAAAGAAGAGAGAGAAAAGGAACAGAAAGAAAGAAAATGTTGTACCTATTAATGAAGTGGGTTGGAAAGAGGAGATCCAGTTGTACCAATGACTATTTAATGAATTATAGGTGTCACGCCTAATGCTTTCTTTATCACACAGAACACGAGCTAAGTAGGGTATGGTTGAGTTTTTGTACTTGCTGGTGCGAGCATATAGTTTTCTATATTGGCTTCTTGTTTTACCTGATGAGATGCAAGGGGAGAGTTGTGAGTGAAGAGGGTGGTGTGAGTTAGATAAAATGGATTTGGCCCATTTTTCACATGAGTCCATGTGCCTGTCAACCAAAATATTAACAAGCTGGTTAAGTGGCACGTTGCTTACTCTGCTGATAACATTTAACATCCTGCGTAATATGTTATAGTCTTTCTTCAGTAGCCCTGGAAAAACTAAGGGGGAACAATAGAGAATAATAGGCAGGATGCGAGAATTAACGAATTGTAGGAGTAAGGGTTGGGTAATACCAGAATGTTTTAACTTCTTAATGTAGAAGGTAAGACGGAATATTTTCTTAGAAATTGCTAAGATATGAGACGACCAGGAGAGATCAGCAGATAGAATGACACCTAGGTATTTAATTTCCGATTTAGTTTCTATTTCAGTGCCGTCTATGTTGCATACCTCGTGAGAGCCAAACAGTTTGTTTAGGTCGGATTTATGCCTAAAGGTGAAATTGACTGTTTGGCATTTGGAGGGGTTTAGAGTAAGACCATTTTCCTTGGACCACTGGCTGATTTCTGACAGAAAGCCATTAAGTTTAGAGCAGTCGCTTTGACATTTGATAGGCAAAGATACAGACAGATCGTCAGCGTATTTGACAAAATTAATGTCATTTGAAGATGGTAAGTCATGTAGAAAGAAAGAAAAGAAAAGAGAAGTGGGGAGAGTACAGCGCCTTGGGGGACTCCGGCTTCAGTGAGTGCAGCAGAGGATGATTTACCTTTGTATACGGTGTACTGCATTCTGTCAGAGAAGTAGGAATGCAACCAGTTAGTGACCCAGGACTCAGTTTTCGTCAAAGAGAGCTTATTTAGCAGGAGACATCTAGGAACAGAGTCGAAAGCAGAAGTGAAGTCAAGAAACGTGCAGCGGACATATTTGGCACCTTTATCTAATGATGAGACGATGTTGTTGTGTAAGACAGCTGCAGCGTCTAATGTACTCCTACCCTGTCTATAGGCAAATTGTTTTGGGTCTTCGAAGTTTTTAAGGGAGGGTTCGAGTTTAAGAAGTATTAGTTTTTCCATAAGCTTTAGGAACGGGGAAGTGATGGCAATGGGTCTGAACTTTACGTTCTTGCCGTTTCCAGGTTTAGGGACAGGGACAATTTTGATGTCTTTCCATGCATCAGGTACAATATTTTTGGAGAAAGAGGCATTTAGGATGTTGGTTAGTGGAGAACAATCTGTATTTGTGCTAGAAAACTGTTTCAGTAGACGACCGAGTAGTTTGGATATCACTCAACGATTTCGTCAGTGTTACTGTAGACGAATGAATGGTGTATGTCGAGAGCTGAACGTCAGATAGAAATAGAATGTGTTTATCTGACCATGGAAATATGAGGTTGTGTAGAAGTGGATGAACAGTCGACAACTTATTACTTTAGAATAGGTGTTTAACTCATTGCAATTTGTGTGTTGTTTTCTACTGACCAGGTTGAACAATATCCATTGAATAACACATTTATGTTGGATAAGATTATAAGGTGATGAACTGAAATATGAAATGAATGCGCAACATTTTTGACCGTACGTTGTTAGGCTTGGCTCATAGCAGCATTCATTTCATTATTCTTTTCATGTTTGTTTCTTCTGGCATTGTTTTGCTTGTGATTTTTTAATTTTTTAATGGCGTATGGAAGTGTGAAAACGCATCCTGATACACCCCCTTTTGAAGGTTCTATTATTCACTATACAGATTACGTTAACCTTGAGAACTTTCAGTGTACCTACTGAAGCATTATAAACTTTGGTCAGTAGTGTTTGGGTTTCAATTACCTATTTACGTGAACAATACAGATCTGTGTATTCTATGTTAATGGTAACAAAAAGCCGTTTTTTACGACTAATGTCAGGTGATTGAAGACAAACGGGAGTAAGACATTTGAGTGTTCAGTATTTAGAGTTTAGTGTAAGACGAAAATAGGCTGTTTCAGTGAAAGAGATCTTTGACTACTATGGTTTAGGTCTTTTAATACCTATTTTGCATGTCCACTAGACTATATTCTCGAAAGGTCTAGATACGTACAGCTTGTTTCGTAAAATTAGTTGATTTTGATTGTCTGAACTTGTATATTAGTCTGATGAAAGAAATGAAGTTTGACTTAATAATTTATTGATTTCTAAATTAAAAAACAGGTGCCAAAATACCATACCTTGAAAACATCGTTTTAAATAAAATTCTATCACATTTTTGAAATTTCTGAGAAAGTGAAGGCTCCTATTTTTATCACTCTTCCTGTCATGTTGCAGACATAAGTCCAGCGGATAAGTCACCTGACAGGTATGCTGAATTTGTATCGAAGTCCTGATGTTGGTCGCCTTGGTTTTCTTGCTCATAATTTGTTAGATACTGTGCTTTGCTCACTAGTGATTTGAAGTTTGTATGTGATAAATGAATAACTGGTAGACTGAATTGTTTCATGGGTATTGGTAGGAGACGTGATAGTATTGGAATAAACAATTGGACTACTGTATTTAATTCTTTCTCTTCGTCGTGAATCGATGCGGTCAAAAATCTTTGGTAATTTTGTAAATCTTCATTGTCCATATTGCAGACAGTGTAAGGTATACTTTTCTTGAAGCAGTTTCGCTTTTTCATATTGGTTAATTTTACTCTGAGAGTTTCAATCTCCTTGAGTTTGTGTTCCAACTTTTCTTTAAAGGATTGATATTTATTAAACGGTAGTAAATTACATTCTGTTGGTTTTATGTGTATTTTTGGTGGGAAATGACCTGTTAATGCATTTTTATATGATCTCCATGGTTGGGCGTAGGATGGTTGCGTTGGGTCACGTAGACTCTGACTTACTGACATAATATTTTGATAACTGCTTTGCTCTGCAGTTTTTATCCATGGTTGTAGAATATTCTTCATCCTCTACACAAAAAGTCAAGGGTAAGATTTAGATGTAAGGTATTAGAAGTGTTTAATGGAGTATATAGTTTCAAAACCTCTTCTAAGTAATACGAGTTACAGAATTTGCTCTTGTGACTTGGTCATATTTTGTGGTAATGGTAACACCTTAAATGAAAATAGAATGGCGAGAAACAGCAATAGATGTCAGTCCGACAGAACACTTCATCTAGGTCCGAGGTATTTGGTACTAAGCATCTAAGTGAGTCTAAGGCCTTGATTCCATGTAAAGTTTCTTTTCCAGAACTTTATATGAACCTGGATTTTAAGGGAGGCTTAACTTGCGGTATCTTTAAGATCAGAATTTTATCATCTTTGAGAAGAGCATTCTTCGCAGCAAGAGTAGTGTTCTCCACTAGTACCATTGGTCTACAGACGCCTTAAATTAAAAGATATCGCATGTGACCAAATATATTGGTCGTTCAACGCGTATCCTGTCTAAAAGGGTTCACAAGAACACTATGCAGCATGCTTACAGAAAGGTAGCAGTGGCTGTATAAGGAGTGCGATAATCGAACTTCGTGTCAACTGTGGTCATTCCATTTAAAAAGAAACCCCCTCAAAAGCAATCCACGGAATAAAGAACAACCTACCAAAGACAATACTCTTTCGTCTCTGCATTGCTGAACCTGTTACCATTCAAATGGAGAAAACGGAGCTATACATACACAAGTGAATTACGCGACCACTTCCATTATTATTGCAACAACCCTGTCGATTTCTACTAGCTCAGTTTCATTTGTTTGTTTGATTTTTAACTCCATACCTGTTGTAATATCTTTCGAAAACTTACATAATTTCACATTTCCCTTCGTTGCTGTGTACCTTGTGATTACAACTCATTCACTAAATTATTCATCTTATTACGCAGCTCACATGTACTTACTCAACTCTTCTTGTGTACTGACTGATATTCACAACCATCATTATGACAACTGACCACTTTCATTATTACCAGTCTCATTAAAACATTGTATGTAAATGCTAAATAAATGAATTCGCCGAAAAGAGCTTCTTTACTAAACTATGTGTTCTGTTTTCGTTATTGTCTGGATGGTGATTATTTATGAGTTAAAAAGATACAGAATTTCTGTATGAACGCAGATAAAATCATAATACCTTTATGTGTTACAACAGTCCGCATATCTAGACACTTGGATTTAGCCATAGAAGTAGGTATTTTACACACCTGATGAAATAGTCACTAGAAGATAACCATTCCAGAGTTAATGGAATCGACTGACCTGTTCCAATGGGTATATTTCCATCTTCACTACCAAATATATAAAGACAAGTAAGGAATATCTATTGAATAACTAAATTATAGGCTAATAGTTGATGCGCCTATAGGATGTATGCAGTCAAATATATTAAATTACTACTGATTAAAATAAGATTATGAGTCCGTTGTGTAGAAGACAAGTTTGTTGCTATCAAATTTGATAAACGATGCCTATTTTTAAGAACCAAATTCACTAGAATGGAAGAAAACAAGAATCAAGTAACCCTAGGCGTTCACTTTCTATCTGTCGTGTAAAGTCGTATAATATGGTGAGGAATATTGAGGTTACACGTAAAGTGTTTGGCATGAATGAGGTTGTGTTTTTACATCGGTCGAGATGGCTACCTACACATGTTACACATGCCAAGCTACCGCCTTTCTCGTCGAGCAATGTTAGATGATATTCTATTAGGTTGGAAGAGTTCGGGGTGTTCAAACCAAAAACTTTCATCAGTTTATGAGTTCTTTGACTGTTGGTTTGAACTACACAGGACTGAGTAGACTGGTTAGCTGAAGTCATCAAGACGCGAAGAAAGGATGTTTTGAGATTAGGTGACATGGCTCAAAATCACTCTCAACGCCATAGATGTGCTCATTCTTTGTGATTTCCAAGCACCTTTAAATTGTCATGATTCTACATTTAGTAAGCTTGGAGGAAAAAAAGATACCTGTTTATTAGGAGAAAAGCTACCTAAAACAACTACCAAAGAAGAAAGAATTAGGCCTTTGCAAATTTGATGTGGAATCATGTAAAACACTAAGTCGGATTGTTCTGAAGAAACTAGAAAATGTTCTGGATGTTAAACTCCTCCTGGAACAGGTTGAATAGCAATTAGTGTGTGGGTCAAATAGTAACCCGGCGCATCATCATCAGACAAATCGTAGAATGGATCATACAGAGGACTTCAACAGCGCTGGCCAAGAAGTGATTTGAAAGCTGCTTCAACACTGCAGAACGCAGTGCCACAAACACTAGTCAACTTAATTTAACAGCTATATTGAAATCCCACATTCCAAGGGATTCACATGGGAAAACTTAGTGATGCCTTTGAAGTGAGGACAGGAGTTAGACAAGGCTGCGAACTGTCACTGATGATGTTCTTGATTGTGGTGAACTGGGTCATGTGACAGACCATGACACACATGTTACCGCGAAAAGATCCTGAAATATATGGATTATTTATGTCTGGCTTCATAGAAGATCGAAGATATACAGGTGAAAATCATCAAGTTGGAAGAAGAAGCAGCAAAAACAGAAATTTAAGTGAACCTAATGAAGACTGAGGTGATGAAGGCACTTAGCGAACAACAACAAGCATTAACCAACGTAAACGAATAGGATCGTTTCAACTACAGGTGGCACAGATGAAGATGTCAAAGCCATGGTTAGAAAGGCAAGATGAACCTTCATCAGTCTGAAATCATTCTGGAAATTTGCCAAACTTAGTGTGATAAAAAAGATTCCAATTTTCAAGGCTGCTGCCAAATCAGTGCTTCTACTTGGTTCAGAGATTTAGCGTGTCACCAAAAGCGTTTCGAACAGGCCTTATACCCTTGTCAGCAGCTTCCTTCGCTCCATGATAAAGATCAGATGGCGGCTTGGAAAGGATTAACAACAAGAAACTATAGTAGTACGAAGAACCAACCAATAACCTATTGACCAAAAAATATGCTGTAGAAAAGGAAGACAGATCGGATATTCTCTGAGGAGACCGTTAGGTGACATCGCACACCAAGCCCTCAGGTGGAAACCGGATTGGAAACGAATAGTTTGACACGAGTCCGAAGGTGACATGAAGGAGGTCGCGTGAGGAGATGAGAACCTTTGAGCGGTTGTCGAGCCAGCCAAAGCTGACTTCAGGAAACAGAATGAGGTGAAGATTTAATGCTGAAGCCCTTTGTTCCACTCGGAACCTAAGGTAAAAATAGTGATAAATAGTAGTAAATTATAACCGTAATCACCAGATACCTGGTCCTTGTATGTTATACATAAGTGGTTGGAGAATGGAGTGATTGACTGAACCCACAGAAGTACACACTTCGATAAGATGAACATAAAACGAGAGAGTAGAAGAGTTGTAATACTATAGCGAACAGATATAAGTACAAAGAAGAGAAAACTATGAGAGATTCTCAAAATGTCGAAGGCAATTAGGTGAGAATACTCCCGTACAACTGCAAACGATCATTATTTATTAACTCATAATATCTTGCTGAGACTAGTCATTCAATCTACGTCTTTGCCGCCTGACTAATTTCAACAGCTAATTACTTGGTGGATTGATGCCAATCTCTTCGACACGGTTCCTTGACTTAATTCCACTTTAGCCAGTACACTCGTTATGGTAATGTGGGATGTATACTATATTCTGTAGCCATATCAGTTGATTAGGGTTCAGATTCTCATCGATTGGAAACTGCTTCAGAACAACGGAGCATCCTTAATCTTTATCAGCTTCGTTTAACAGCTGTACGATGATGCCAAATGACAAGTGGTTCAAAACGGAAAGATCAGCGAAGACATTTTATTGAGGATAGGAGTAAGACAAGGCTGCCTACTACCAGCGATGACTGCGTTAGACCGTGGACAGCATACGTTGGACCGGCATGAATGCTCTAGAAAATCGGGATTTCAAAAGTGACTTATGTCCCATGTCGCATAAACTAGAAGATACGAGAACGAAAACAAAGTTTGCAGAAGAGGTAGTGAAGACAAGACTTCAAGTGAACATAGAGAAGACAGGGTGATGAAGATACCTAATCAACAACAAACATCAGTCACTATGATCGGGAGGAATCTAAAGGAAGTCACCTCTTTCACTTACGTGGTCCTGGAAGCAGAGTTTAAACCACAGACAGCACGAATGAGGATGTAAAAAGTAGGATCCGAAAAGCAAGGCTGAAATTATTTAATCGAAAATCAGTGTGGAAATCTGCTGTAATCAGCATCAGAAACTTGGCTTGAGCTTCATGGAAAGAATTCCCAATAGGCTTCAGACTTTTATCAGTAGCTGTATTCACTGGTTTGATACGTAAGAGAAGATCTCCAGAAAGGATAAGCAACTATGAAGTCTCAAAACAAACCATCCAGGTACCTATCATCCAACAAGTATGCAGGAGAAAGTGGAGATGGATTGAACGTATGCTGAGAAGATTGTTGGGACTGCAGTGCTCCAGTGGGACCCAAGTAGTCTAGTGTTCGATGGTGACGTGTAGGAGGTGACATTTCATGGAAATCATGATACTAGCTAAAAAGAACCACAGAGAAAATAGTGAAATGGCTGAGTGTCACTGAAGCCATATGCTCGACTCTGAACCCGAGGGAATGACAGTAATAATTATTTATGTAGTTATTCTGACACCCGTACATTTCCCTTTATTGTAGTTTTTTTGCATTCCATTCTGTCTACCTTTTTTGTACTTTTATGAAATGTGGTGACTTGAATTTATTCACTCTTCTAAATAGTACGTTGAAAATTCAGTTCAGTTGAAATAACAAGTAGAAATTTCACTGCAGTGCGTTGAGTGTTCAGAAATCGGAGAAAGATCACCCGGTAATACTATTCCATCTCATTTGTATGGCCCCGTCGATAAGTGAATCCGAATATAGTGTACTAAATACAACTTGAGTGAGAACGAAAATGTGGTGGTTTCCTACATCAGTAATATCAATCAGCAGGATGAGAGAATGGATCAACCCTGCAGGAAAACTCTAAATAAACTTTCACGAAATCAACAATGAAGACACAACTAGTGTGTTACCCTCATGAAGAGGAAAAGACGACAACTGATTACAACCTAACTTTCCTACGAGGTAAGTAGAACTAACTTACACGAAATGTATCTTTGACGAAAAAATCAGTCACAAAGAAAAGAATTTTTGTCAACATTTGAAATTCGAACAAAAGCATAGGATTAGTAATGATGTGGAAATAAGTTCCTCTAAATATCAGTGAGATAATAACTACATCCACAAATTACTAAATCTCACTAGTGGTATAGTTGTGTGATACAGACAATGGGTCCCAACAGAATATTATTTTCACAGTAAGAATCATTGTATTTGTTGGTGTTAACGTCTGAATACTATTCCCTCAGTTCAACAGCGCATTAGGAGCAGAATGCCATATACTTTGACTTCTGTGTCTTACCTTCTTGTGTTACAGTGGTTATATTGTCTTAGGCACTCGGATTTCACCAAATTATTCGTTAGTTCGAGTCCCGCCTTGCTTATAAGAGCATGGGTACTGTGACTCATAGACTGGTAGATGAAAGGACCGTTTCAGGTAACTGAGTTCAAACAAATGATACTGGTGGTTACTGAGATGAAATTAGAAGATTTGTCTCCTATCAAACTATCTCGGATAACACCTTCAAAGCTATACAACTTCCTGATTATTATGTTATGAATAAAAATCTCTTCAAATTTTCTAATGCATTAGAACCCTAGTCAACTTCGTGTATCAATGTTAAAAAAAACTGCATCTTACTGCTTTTAACTAATCAAAGTACATTATTTTAATAAATAAATCAAACGAATTCCATACCAAAGTTTTCAAGCACTCAAAAGTGAAGTTTTTTAATGCCCAGGAAAGCCGAAATGTGCCACATTCTTTTCTCATACATATTTTTACAGAAGATTCCAACACCTTTAAAATTTGACTGTTGACTAGTTAGCTGACATATTACTAAACTAAACACACATGTTTACTTTCTTGCACAGTCTTTGTTGACAGTCAAATTCTCAGAGTTGGTGCATTTCTCTCAGCTACATGAAGAATTCAGAGTATTTCATCACTTTTACATTTATTATTACAATTGATTTTATATACGAACTAGCTACTGAGAACCGGTTTATCATAAGACATGAAATGAGTATAAGAAATTATTCCAGACACTGTACCATCTCAATTTCCTCATTTAATTGAATACTTAATGTAAGTGTAGAACTTGGACACTGTGGTCGCATGTAATTTCATATTAGATAAGTTTATTTTAAATGAAAGGAGACTTAAGTCAATGCAAGAACTGGCGCAGAATTATGCTCCTGTCCATCCCAAGCAAAATACTAAGCTGCATCATCCTGGAGAGAATCAAACATGCCAACCTGGATGAAAAACTTCGACCGGAACAGGCTGGATTCAGGAAAAACAAGTCATGCATTGATCAGATCGCCACATTACGGATCATCATTGAACAAAGCCTGGAATGGCAGTCACCTCTCTATCTCAACTTCATCGACTTTGAAAAGGCCTTTGACAGCGTCGATCGAGAGGTGATTTGGAAACTACTTCGCTACTACAGGGTGCCACCGACAATTATACATCTCATCCAACAGCTGTACGACAATGATGCATGCCAAGTAATCCACAACGGGAAACTTACGGAACCCTTCGAAGTGAGGACAGGAGTAAGACAAGGCTGCCTACTATCGCCAATGATTTTCCTGATTGCAGTAGACTGGATAATGCGACAAACAGCGGGCAATGAGGAAACAGGCATAAAATGGACTCACACAAAAAACTTGGAGGATCTGGACTTCGCCGATGATATATGTCTGATTTCCCACAAACTGGAAGATATGCAACCGAAAAGCAACAAGTTGGCAGAAGAAGCAGCAAAGATAGGACTTCAGGTGAACATAGAGAAAACAGAGGTGATGAAGATTCCTGGGCAACACCACCACCAACAGCAACAACAACAACAGACAACAATCAGCATAAATGGGAGGAACCTGAAAGAAACAACCTCTTTTACCTACCTGGAAAGCATCGTTTCAACTACAGGCGGAACTGACGGGGATATCAAAGCAAGAATCGGAAAAGCAAGACAAGCTTTCACTACTCTCAAGTCTGTGTGGAGGTCAACAACACTCAGCATCAAAAATAAGATCCGGATTTTCAACTCCAATGTGAAGTCAGTGCTACTATACGGATCAGAGAATTGGCGCGTCATAAAGAGCACCTCAAACAAACTACAGACCTTCATTAACAGTTGTCTTCGCTCAGTACTCAAGATCAGATGGCCAGAAAAGATCAGCAATAGAGGGATCTCTGGGAGCGAACCAACCAGGAACCGATTGTGCAACAAATATGCAGGAAGAAATGGAGGTGGATTGGCCATACTCTTAGGAAACCATCAAGTGACATCACTAGACAAGCCACTGCTCGAGTGGAACCCGAAAGGGAAGCGGCGAGTTGGTCGTCAGTGCAAGGGTAACTTGGAGGAGGTCATGTGAAGAGGAGATGAAAGCATGTGGGCAGACATGGAGCCAGGTGAAGACTCTAGCAGAGAACCGAACGCAATGGAGACGCACGGCTGAAGCCCTATGTTCCTCTAGGAATTAAAGGATACAATACTAATACTAATAATAACAATAATAATAATATGGAAGTAATCGAATACTATTTTCTGTTCACTTTATATCAATATCAAAGTAATAATTTAGGAAGGTTACCTATACAAAAATATCTGTAATGAACTTGAACGACAGTGCATAGAAGGAGCATACTTGACAATCCAATCCAGTTGGATCGGGTGCCAGTGGCTTATTGGTGTACGAGCTCGCCTTGTAACCAGAAGGTCCTGGGTTCGAATCCCGGTGGGTGCGTACTGATGAGGGGTCCAAATCTAGGACAAAACAGCTCTCCATTACTCCCAGGTTTTCCAATGGTTCTCTAACTAGTGTCTCCTCATGATGAAATCCTGTAACCAATCAAATCCCTACAAACCAACACTTGGAAATCCAATTAGTTAATGATTTTCAATGCAATTGTGTTAATTAAATTAAAAGATGTTGAGAAATACAAGACATATTGATCAGTACTTTTGTGAAAGACAACCGAAAGAGGCTTAATTTATTTTGATCAAATGCCAATACAAGATTGACAGATTCATTGTTAGCACACTTTATTAAATACTGAGTGGGCTTAAGTCCATTTCTCATCATTCCTACTCATATGTGAATCACAATATAAAGCATTTTATTATCAGTGATGTTGTTTGTTAGTTATACCTGCACAAAACTTTTGAAACTGATTCTCTTTTTGTGAATAACATCTTCAAAAAATAGCTTTTATTGATTGACTAACTGAAAAATACCTACCTACGTATACAAATCACATGCATGTTAACATTTCAACTGCATTGTGTGAAAAAAATATTGGTTAATTTCTGCTAGACTCACATTGAATGGAGTCTTTAAACACGACGAGATTAAGTGACTGGTGATTAATTGCAGACCTAATAATTGGAATGCGAATTCTCCGACCTTCAGTGAGGCAATTTATATGGTAGAAATACTTAACTAAAGTGGCTGTCTCGCATAAAACAAATACTTACAGCCTGATTAAAAATGTACAATATGTATAGGAAAACAAGACGTCTGAAAGGCAAGGTTGTCCCCTAAGTTAGATTATAAGATTCCCTATGAGATGTGTTGCTGAATATGTTCACATATAATTTTGGAACAACAAAAGACAACCATATATATATATATATATGCGTGAGTCGTACTGTCTGTTATTGAGTATTTTTGGCTATTGAATAGTACAGTAACACCTACTTAATTAAACATTGAAAGGACTTACTTTACTTCTAGTTACTTTATTTTAGACCATACTGAATACAGACAGGCTTTATTCTCACATAGAGTTGTGCGGAACAGTGAGGGACTTTTACCAAACGGAAATACGACTTTTGTTCACTGCTTATTATTGACAAGCTGGAAAATGAATTCTTTGAAGTTCTATAAATATCATCAGTTGGATTAGCCAACCAATATGTAGCGATAATCAACAAATGGGGTTTCTGCTGTTTCGTAGATTGTTAAAATTAGGTAATTCTTCCCTGTTAAAGTCAAACATTCAGTTGAATAGCAGCATTCTCGCCCTTAAATCTAAACTGTCACAGCTCTAATGAGATTGCATATGAACATTACTGAAGATACCAGTAATTGAGACATTGATAGTTCATTGCTGTTTCATTCTTAACAGCTTTTTAGCTGTATTCGATTCGTGCAGAAGCATACCTAAAAATCAGTGAAATTCCTAAATGCTTATTAAATGTTGTGCAAATCCAATGGACACTATACTCAATGAAGTAACTAGTAGTACATAATGACATACAGTGTCCACTTAGTATGCAAAGTTAATCCCCATATGATATTATGACATTTTGGAAGCAATAAAAACGAACGGAAGCTTACGCGATATTTACGCCTTTCGACCACATGTGATTCACCTAAGCGTACAACACAGCGATCTACTTCACTTAATGGAGGTAAAAGCATAACCATTTTGTGCTTTCCAGATTCTTCACCGTCTTGCAGTGTTTGAATTCGTTGCTTTGAAACACTATTAGTTTCTGGTTTTATTGTAGTACTTTTTATTGCTTGTTCTTTGGCCTGTTCACGTAATTCAGATAATTTTTGCTGATGACACCAGTCAATGAACGCGTTTAAAGCCTTTATACCGTCTTTCAAAATGGGATTCTCATTGTTGTCACTATCGCTTTTGGTCCATCGCACACCTTTTTTAACCGTTCTAGATGGCACTGTTGTAAGTAATATACTTTTTGTCTGCTTTGCATATCTGGGCGACTTATCCTACAAAAGATGAAATGTAGCCACAAACAGTATGTGAAATACAGGAATTTATTACGTAAATTTATAATCTAGAAACATGATTTTATTTCCAGTGTCATCTGCAAAAAGAAATACTAGAAATATAGGTTAGAAGATTATATTCTGTTTATATCTCCAGTTATGAATCATAAAAGTGGACGTTATTGCTAATGAAGAGGATTGTGTTGTGTTTATTGGGGGAGTATTTATTTTCCTTATTATAAACTGGAATGATTAACGATCTCCGCCAATCTTATGGCATTATTTAGAATTTTCATATTCTGTTTAATACCTTAGTCAACAATTCATCCCATTCAGATCATTCAAAACCGCTGAATTCACATTATCAGATTCCTACTCTTTCATTTAGTTTTAGCTAAGACAACTGTTGCAGCCTCAGCTACAATTGGTGGACAAACGTTCTGATCACCTCTACTGATAAGTTACTTAACTTCCATTCTTTTCGGAGGTCATCTTACTTAACATAACATTCTTAGAGCCTGTTTCCTTAATCAGCCTAAATAGTCGAAGGAAGTTACTTATTTCTGATGTCCTCTCAGTCTCTTTTGCTTCGACTGCTCAATACATTTCGTGGTCATTGTGAGTACTTATGGTCAGCTAACGTTTGATTAAATTTGGCTATGCGTCATGTATGGAACCTTCAGGGATCAGTTTCATCACTGTAAGTGTAGGACTTGGACACTGTAGTAGAATTTAATCTCACATTAAACAAGTTTATTTGAAATAAATGCATCAGTGTGCGTTATTTCAAACAAACTTATCTGATGTCGAGTTAGTTTCATTATATCTGTTATTTCGGAGGAAGCTGCAGGAATCATCAGGTATTAATAACCTTTGGTTACAGATATGAAAAGTCATTTATACTGTTTCTACAGCAATCTGAATAAATTGTCATTCTTTGACAGGATGAGTACTGCTACATGTTTTTTTACGTTCTTTCAGTGGCAGGCAAACGTGTACACAGAATGATGAAGGAAATAGATATTTCAAGCGTTTGGCTAACAACATTTTATAAAATATAAATTCAAGTGAGTCAAAACTTACACTTCGTTAAAATGTTCCTAACCTTCCCAATTTTATTTGAATGAATGTTAATAATATAAACAAATAACAGTTTATTCATGAGTGACGCTCTTTATTTAAAATTTCATACCAATACCGCTTGTACTCAATCATGAAAACAGTGATGTTTCTGTTAATGTAAAACTTTTAGGTAGACATCTAAAAATAGTTGTCATAGTGATCTAAATGCTTTAGGGTACACATACCGAATGGTTGATATGAGAGCTTGGATACCACTCATACAGGCTTTCTAATCTAAGTCAAATCGAATACACTGCTGATCAGCTTGGTCCATAGCCTTCCTGTGTTTAGACCATTTCGGTTTGTCTATCGACCACTAAATGTTAATGTGAGTGGTATCTGACTACTCATATAAGTCAGTCAGCAGTATATAGCACCATGCATTCATGCCTATTTTCCTGGTTGTCATTTATGAAGTAGTGCAAATCCCAATGTTTAAAGACTGCCTTAATTTGCACTTACACGAACTGGCTACAACATCGTTTTGCGCTTTTCCATTGTGCTGGCTATACGCACATTCCTTAAGTTTGTAATAAAGTCATATCAGTTAGATAATGTTTACCTTTTATTTTACTCAAATACACGCCGTATTTGAGCTTTTTTCCTTTATAAGCAAGTCTTTTTAATTTGCGTTTTGTCGCCAGTGTTTACATATAAGGTAGGGTACTGAACTGTTGGGCACACAGGTAAATTGAGTTAATTAAGGACTGGTGAAGTGTGGCTTATCAACACCTCTACCAGGACTTTACAGTGGCATCACGCAGATCACATACTGTTATCTGAATAATTTTGGTTTCCAAGGGAAACTGTGGTAAAATTTCATCCCAAACTGTGTAAACTGCAAATTACAAAGTAATTTGCTAGTCACGACTTCTATCCAAGGTGATCTAAAGGTTAATGGATCAATTTCTGGTGATTATATAAAACAAGTCATTTCGAACTCGAATATTCAAGAGAAAGTCTGCCTAGTAACGCGAACTTCCAAGATTTTGCTACTGAATCTCTTCATCTTATTCTTGTAAAAAAGTAAATTAATGCCAAAATCTTAAAATCGTTAATAAAAATTGATGATTAAACGAAGTATATTAAAAATAGCCACAAACCTTTAGTAAATTTCCATCACTTATTTCATACCAGTTTTCGAGCCAGAAATATAATATTCTATAGACTTTAATCCAATAACTCAACGCATCAGTATTGCTGACTAAGTGGATGCAGTCACTTATGTGGAGAATTTTTCCCGATATGATGGGTTTTGTACATTTATCCAATTTATTCAGTAGACTCAGTTCCTCTTCAAGATAATTATAATATTTGCTTTTAAATCCAGCCGACTGAAGGGAAGTATGTATATATAATAGCAAATTATTGTTAGTGATTTCTTGAGGATAATGTGTGTCACCTTTTTCAGTGGTTAACAGTACTTTCACATATAACAATAGTAAAATAACTACAGTGTCAATATCATGAAAACCGAAAGCAACTAAGGTCTTACTAATTGCTTCCAGCATTTTCCATCCTCTAAATTCATCGTTATTTTCTAAATTATAAACAATACACTTTGTTAGGCACAGACGCAATTCATTAATACATTCTTCAGGTAACTGAAAATCTGTATGCAGCAGTTCCATATCGTAACATAATTCTGAAATAGTCTGGCATAGATATGGATCTTCATCTTCCATACAAGGTGGGACTTTTTGGGAACATATACTGGGTAAAATATTTGTCCATAGCATCCACTGAATGAAACAAATAGGATGAGAGCTTGCATTGAAATCCATCCATCCTTCTGGTCTGTGATTATTTAGCAAACCTAAAGCAGGTAACCATCTAGAAGTCTTGAACCTATGCAAAAAGACGGGTAGTATGAATGCAGAAAATGTGTCCGGAGAAACTGAATTTCTAAATTCAGTTAAAAAGACAGTGTTTTCTCGTTCGTATTGTGGACGGTGAAGTGGTGGTCTGTCAATTAAATTCGATAGTAAATCCTTTTCCTTTTGCCTAGACTGTTCTGCTTGTTTAAGTTCATTTTTAGTTATTACTTTCCATTTATCCGAAGATGGCAGTATTTTCTCAGCATCGGCAGGTTGAATTTGTTCTAGTTCGCTATTCATCTGATCTTGTAAATCCAATAGGCTGATGTGTTGATCTGAACTACTTTTTTGCAAGAACTTACTTGCAAGTAATTTTTCTTCCATATTCTTATCCATTTCATCAACCTCACTCAATTCTTTACTAGTCATAGTTAGTTCCTTATCAGATTCCACTATCCAACCTGTACTGAAGTCAGAAGTTATTGTGTCTTCCAATGTGTCTTTTTCCATTTTGTTAATGAAGCCTGAATTAGCTAATCGAGCTTCAATTTCCTCCCAGTTGACTTTAGCTGTTTTCTTAGTATCATATGTCTCTGACTGACTCAGTTTTGAACAATACTTGCCGAGGAGTAAGGAATTGGGCGCCCAGCCGTATTTGGAACGACCACTTTCACGAAGAACAGTCTTAGGGAAGAATCCATTCGGTCTTTGTATTGGCAAAATACAAATATCACTATTGGCTGTCGGGCTGGTTAACTTAATAGTATCAGGAAGTTTTTCTAAGTATTGATTTGAGTTTAAGTCAGGAGATGCTTGTCTTTTTCTAGCAACTTTAGACTGCTTGGTGTGCTTACACTTCACATTTGTTGGTTTGTTTTTGACTGCTGCTTCACATTTAATTTGTAAATGAGTTTGTTCAGTGGTCATTAGTTGTTCTTTTAGTAAAACAATTTCCTCGTCATCATCAGGATCTAACTCTTTTGAATTTGGCGGTACACTCAGACTGTGTTTTGACAGTATTTTTTCATAATAATTATTAAAAGCAATTTGTTGGCCTTGTTGAGAAGTAATATAGGTATTATGAGAAGGTTTTATCCGATGCTCTACAGACTTCTTTCTCAATATTTTATCTAGATCACTATCCCTTTCTTTTAGTTTGGATAAGATTTCATTTTTTTCACTTGCTTTGTTTTCATCAGATGGAAAGTCTGCTGTAACACGAATGTTACAAATCTGTTTTAAGGGTAGAGATAAAGAAAGAAAAAGCGGTTTATTTTAATGTACGAAGTAGAAACTTTGATATTTTTAATATAAACAATGGTTTGCTGCACAATATACCTTTAAGAAACTGGTGACTACTTGCCCTCGAAATATAAAAATAATTACTTTTCCCGTCAGCCAACTGCATCGCAATTTCTTTTGCATGAAGTAGGTATTCAAAAGTAGACAGTCAGCAGTAAACAAGTCTAGAAATGTTATAATTAATTATTACCTAATAAAAAGTCAAGCTAAGGTTGGTAGGCGTGCTAACTAGACTCATACTTTCTCATTACCTTCACTTTGAACTCTACAGTTATATATTCAAATTAGGCAAATAATAAGCTTATTCATATCAACTACATATAGCAGCAAATTATTATATCAAATAAATTGTTCTGGAATTAACAATGTTCACATTCAAATGCTGTTGGAGTTCAGTTCAAAGGAAATACATATACGATATCATGTTTTGTGTGGAATTATACTGTCAAGATTAATTCTATCAGAGTTTCTATCCATTGAGTGTACTATAGGTGATAATAAGGTTAATGAGAAGTACTAATTGTGACTCAAGTTTGTGGATGAATTTTATTCACTGAAGCTATGGACTCCAGGTGAATAAGGTAAAGGAAAAGTAGGATTATGAAATACTACAGAGTAGGGTCTCGTTTGCGAACAGTCTTGCTTGCGTAGGTGTTAAGGCAGATAAACATTCGAAGCTGAGAATGTACATAGGGAAGTAAAATAGGATAGGATGGAATGTTAAAAATTGTTGAAGATCCAAATGGTTTCATTTATATGACACTGAGGAATTTCCCTTTTCTCAGTGATCTAATTATATAACCTGTGTATGACATCCTTTTTGTTTACCTATTTATTGTTTTAGAATTTCCACGCTTTCCCGGTCGACATTGTAGTTGTGCCTGTTTATATCTGATGGCAATAGTGCTGGAATATCATTTCGGTTGATCGCTAGCTTATATTGATGAAATAACCAGATTAACTGACGAGAGAACGTAATGTTATGGTGATGATGATAGTTATTGTAATCACATAAGACATCCGCCTTTTGTTTTCTCTAGGCTTTGAATCAGCTGTTTTGGACAGCATATTTCGTAATTATCTGTTTGACTTTTGTTTCATCCCGAGGTAGCATGCTGACAGTTTCTGAAGCTTCTTCTGGCCATAAGTATTTTCAATGAAGTTTACAGGGTAACCACTGAACAGTAACTCTGTAAAGACAATTCTTCTGTGACTTCCTTTGGTTGCTGGGCTCCACGGTCAGCCTCAATAAGTGTAAGTATCACTTATACGTGGCTATTTTCATGAGAAGTTGAATTGTACCTATTAGATATTAAAGTGTTGTCCAAATGTTTGGCCTTGCTTTGTTATTTTGTAAGCTTGCATCTTTTGTTTCACTGATTAGAATGTTTAGAAGTGAGGTTTTGGTATTTTGTTCTCTGTTGACTACAAAACAGTGTATCTTCAAGAGTTGAATTAATGAGATTAACTAACTTGTACGATTAATCTATTTTGACATTTGCAGCTGTGCTATTGACATAAGTTACTTAAAATTCGAATTTACTTATTGCAATGACTCTCAACTCTAAAGGCTGAACTATGGCTTCAAAGACTAAAGATTTGGCTTTGTTTCAGCTTATTTTTGAAGGTTTCAGTGAATTTTGAGAGGCGTTTGAGCTGTTTCCTAGATTATGTCAACATTGACTGACACATAAAGCTGTATTACATCAAAAGATTTTGTGTTCTCATCATTACCTATCTTGAATTTATGTATCTCCTCATGGTATTTTGTCGCTCACGTCTGACTTTCATCAACAAGATGTTTAGAATTTCTACATAATTACCGTAGTGTCTACTTCTGGTAGAGCATAAAATCTTAACAGAACCATACCTGTATTCTTCTTTCCACATTGTTTCTGTCGTGTAGTTTAATCCGTTTTGAAGAAGTTAATTTTTCTGGACTTGATTTTTAAATTGTTTTACTGGAACTTAACCTATTCTGTTGTACCTAATATTAGGCAGGTATCCTGATCCTGTGAATATCTTGTGTCAAGAAGAGGGATAGCTTAAACTGTGTAGTACATATTCAGTCACATAATTTACTGCAAAATGAGCGTCTTCACGTATATCCTTGAGAATATATATATACTACCTACAGCTGGTTTTAATGTTTGTGCAAGTGTGAGAACGTGTGGCAAAGGTTTCTGAACTTGAATTTATGGAAATCAAACTGTTTTCAGTTGAAGTGCTTTATTATCTGTTTTCATAAAAATATTCGAAATCCATTTTGAATGTACTGAAAATGGAAACTTAATAAGTTGTCTTAATCATGTAAACTGATTGCTGATATAGAATCCAGTTACATTTAATTTACCTGTAACGTAATCGATCGATTTAAAAAAAATGTTTCTCGCAAATGTTTAATTTTCTTAAAGAGTACAAAAAAATTACGATTAGTCATTAATTTGTGGAATTTTAATGCATTTACTATGTACGTCAGTTTATTAAATACACTGTTAAAACCAGTCAACTGGTGATTGCGTAGATATTCTTTACTTTTGTAACCAAGATGATAGTTAAAAATAATTTTTAAAACTGGTTTTACGAATTTCGCTTTTAGCTAGTGAATTGATTTATCTTTACGATAGTAATAAAAAATGAGTATATAACTCTAAAAGTTGTACTTTTGCCTTCTCAGCAGCTGTTAAACATAATCGATGTTCATGCACACAACAATATGACATATTTTCCTTTGACCAACAATAATTAAACTCACTACTTGCATGGTTTGAATTCGAAAAAGGTGGGTAGTTGACAAAATGTTGTATTTACTAGTTCAATTGTAGAATGCTTCCCACGTGGCCAGGGTTCGATTTCTGGCTAACGCACTCCTAAACCTCGTTTACCTGGTAGTAGGCCGGGTAAGGGGGGATATTTGGATGCAAGGGTAGTTACATAACCCTGTAAAAAACACTACAACTAATTAAACTTAAAAACTGAAGCTGTAAACGTTACGTTCCATTCGGAACGCAGGGAATAAATAAGAATTTTGTATGCCTTTCTGATTTTGTAACTTGAATACGCGATGAAAATCGCTTAAAGTCATAAGTTTTGAGTGGTGATCACAGATTAGGGAACAAAAAGTCATGTAAGAGGTTTACAAAGATGAGAATGAAAAAAATCGCATTAGCTTATTAACATCGACTCAAACCGTGTTGACTACTTGACCATTACAGTTTATAGTGTGACTTAGACTGACACTACATAAACTAATTTCATCGCTAAATTTTATCTCTGTGGTTATAAAATTTTAACTTCTCTCCCCTTTCATGCAAAGTCCCTATGTAGCATACCATATCTGATAATATAGGTGCTAATCCTCAGCCCTCCAGTCTAAACAGAACAAAATGGTTGAATGCTTCAGTCATTTTATTTGTCGGTTAAGTAGCATCAGCTCTGATGAATTAATGTCTGACGAAATCACTGCATAGATACAGAACATACATTTGACTTTCATCACATCATTCCATCTATGAACCAAACGAGATGTCTGACTACCCAATAGTGGTCGAATATACTACACAGCCACTGACTCCATACTTCGTTTGATATTCATTTAGGCTTACATGAATTTGGTTGTCACGAGGATGGATTTTTTCACAGACCTAATTCATCTGAAAAATTCATTGAAAAACGCCCACTGGTCAGTGAAAAATAATTTTACACTAACACCTTCATTCTACCTACATTACAATTTACTAGTGGAAGAAATCGAACAGAAATTCATCTTAAAACTTCTATAGTTGCAATTCATGGCTTGATAACAGCTTTTACTAAATTTTGAAAAACGCATTCAACAATAGCAATGATTTACGTTGAGATGCACCCTTAGTTTTTAACGGTCAAGTTTCATTAGTAGTTGATTTCATTGCATTGAAAGTTTTCACCTGACTTGATTCCTAAGAATCAACTAATTCTGCGTAGTCGGAAATAAATGTTGTGAGGCATTTACGGTATGATATCCGTTGGCTGACTGAGAGATGATTGTGCGTGAATAAATGATTTTGTTTATTTCAAAGTTCATCAAGTATCTCCACCATACCTTCAATTTCACCTCAAAGGTGTTAGTCGATTCTTCGAGAAATCGAAAACAAACTGCCACCAGGGTTAATAATGAAACCACTGCTGAGTGATTGGCATTTAGCTGCACAAGTTATTCATTCCTTTGAACTGAAGTGGAATCGCCAGTAGAAATATCACCACACATTGGATTAGGATACACAGCTTTCAGAGTTTACAGCACTTATGATCGGCTAAATGCAGAAGAGATTTTTTTTGAAGTTTTTTTCTCAGCATGAATGCTCATTAATGAAATCTCAAGATGGATTCAGGAAATCGATTTCCAAAATGACAAAATAAATTCGAGAGAAAGTTAAACAATTGTACACTTACAGAGATGAGTGAAATAATTCAGTAGGTAATGATTGTTTATTTTCTGGTAAATTTAAAATAACTCCTAGCTGTTTTCATTAAAATAAAAGACTTACCAAAGATAAATATGTCCCATTCATTTTTTTCAGTTCATCTTTATTCCACTCTCTGCTTCTTATTACATTTTTCATTTTAAGAGGTGTCACTTTATTTCCTAAACTCTGGTTTGTTGAGTTTAATAAATTCCGTCTAATGAAAAGGCTTTTGTTTATTAACGCTGTGTAGCGGAAAAAATACATTAAATTATTTATTGTTAACAAAATATCACCACTGTTTTGAACACTGAGGACTCTGCAGGTAGTTTGAGGTGCTCTAGAGCCTGTGGTAAATGGTAGTTTTAGTGTATTCACCAGTTGTATATTACATTTTATACCATTGACGGAAGTATTTTCTGTTGCAAATGGCGTTATTGTACTTGCTAACAAAGCTTTTTTATAATTTTGATTACTGTTATTCCTTACACTTTCTAATACTGCCCGCCATATTTTTAGATAGAGACTTTCCTGATCGATGGGATCAACAGATATTGTTAAAAATATTTGTTCAATGATAGGTGATTTCTCAAAGTATGTATTGAGCGAACTCCTGATAGTTAGTCCAAAACAAAGATCTTTCAAAAGTGTCGTATCAAGATGATTATAGTAGGCTTGGTTTAAACGACGTGTTGTTTTGAGGCTGAAAACAGAATAGTTGTCCCAGGTGTCACTGACTTCAGCACATATAGCATGACAATAAGAGACATCCGAAAGGAATTCAGATCTTCCAGTGTTTGAATGGTCCCCAGCAGTATAAACACAATAAATGTCTGTGTTGTTAACAATTTTAAATGGGAAGTGTTTGAAGTGTATGCGCAGATTTGCGTTATCATAGTCGGAATCTTCTATTTTTCTCTTCTGAACAATAATTGGTAAGGGTCTGATCAGTTGCCAAACTTTAATTGTCCCATCAACTGTTACAGTGTACAGTCTTCCAGTTTTTGGATTTGATTTAATTGAGGAAAGTGGTGAACTGCTGCTGGAATCTGGTGGGTTATCTACGTAGTAAATCCAATAATAAAACTGAATATTATTATTAATTTTCTTACACAGAACATGATCTATTTCATCTGTAATACTATAGCAGTTTGTATAACTTTCCATATGATTATTTTTATCATTTGAACATAGCTCATAGTCACTACTTAGGTACTGACTTTAGTTTACCAATGAGAAAACCACCCACAAAAACGAAGATTTACAAGTCTTGGTTTAAAGGGATTTGATTGATTTCAAGTCTGATCACGAACTGACATCAGTTAGAGGCATTGAAAACCAGGACTGATGGACAGATGTTTCATCCTAGTTTTGGGCTCCTCATCAGCACGCGCCAACGGTCTCACTGGGGTTTGAACCCAGCACATTTAGGTTGCAAGGTCAGCCCACTGGTGATTCCGCCAATGGGGTGGAGTCCATTGGCTCGTCAATTCTGATTTCTACCATTTCGCGATACATACCATCACTCCGCCAGCTTATGTCATCAGTGACTACTAGTCAACTGATTCCTATTGATAAACAAAAGTTCTGTGCAGATAAAGAGAAACCATGAAATAAAATCGATGCATGTAATTCTGCTCCAGTGTTTGTCTTATCTCCCCTCGAAAACATTGATATATGATCAAACTGATCATCAGATAAATAATGATGTGACTTTACTCATAGTATTTATTAGTAATGAGTAATATAGTTTGAAAATACTGATTTTATTTTTGATAAACAGGATTACATGTGATGATGTCTAACTGAGAAATGTTTTGTCACACAAAACCCAATATAAATTAGTCTTGTTGGGTATGATTTTCAATGTTTAGGCGTCCGTAATGAACATTCATTAGAAAATAACAGGAAGTACTTTGCACTTCTTATCGGTACACATTCAATTTCCTCCGAAATATCATTTGTGGATTTCGTCGGTTCTGGAATAATCTCTCCTACTTTTAAATCCTGAATGAGAATAGTTGGTATTTATTTATTTTCTGAATTTTTTCGGATGACAGTTACTATTTTATTTGATAAAGAGTAGCTGGTTCGTCAGCTCATATGTTCTCTGTAATAATTGCTCTTCGTTAAACCTCCTTATTACCTACAAGCTCTTATGAAAATGTGCTTCAGTAATATCCAATTTAGCTTACATCTGGCTATTAGTTCTATGTTGAGTGAATTTCTTCATTTGTGCTATGGTACCTGCTGGCTTTTACCTAGTAAAAGAAAGTCACAGCTGTCTTCATTTCATCCGAGATCCCTGTGAAATGTGGTGAGTATTCAGTAATAAGAGTATATTTGGAAGTTAGAATATCAAAAGAGCCTCTAATAATTTCATTTTGCCAACACGAATAGGGTATATCTTACTGTACCATTAATCCATTGCACGTGAATTACAACAACCTACCTAAGCCGACAGGTGCATGACTCAGAGTCATTTGGAAATGGACGAATGTATTTTCATCCTTAATAATTACTTGTCTAGTATTTCATTCATACATAAAATACATTTAATAGTATTTCTGCCTGGTACTAGCCTGTTACTATCAGAATAAGAATGTAAAACAAGGTATTACCAATGATTAACTTAAATGTTTCTTTGAAATGTGATATAAATATTTCGACAAATAGAAATTCTAAGTACCGAGGTAGTAAGAATAGAACTTGTGCACTGTGGTAGAGTATAATTCCGTTGTGGGTAAATTTTATTTTGATAAAGTCTTACAGTGTTATACAGTAATATTTACTGATGACGTTTTGAGTACAATTTATTGCTCATGATCATATATAGTTACTCACACAACTTTCTCACCCCATTTATATAATTCCATTATTTTTCATCACTTGACTTGATTGGTAGTAGTATTTTCCACATTTCAGGTATGAGTGATGATTCATTCCTATTGCATGTGTTGGGTGTAGATTCGATGAACAAAGATTCAGTAATCAACCTCTCTCTCCACCCACCTAGATTACTTTTTAGAATTTTAACCCTCTCCCACCCTATTGTGTGGTTGTGTGTTAATGCATGCATTGCAATTGCCGAGCTTTTTTCTAAATTACTTATCTTTGCGAGGTCAATCATTTTAACCTTTGCTAAATTCTTATGTTCTGACAAACTGACTACTCCCGATCTACTAGTTTGACCTATGTAGTTGACGTCATAGTTATTGTAAGGTATTTTGTGAATTATTTGATTTTGTCTAATTAGATCAACAGGGTCCTTTAACCTACAGAGCTTGTCTTATCTGAGTGGGTTTGAATGCCACTCTAATTTCTGCTTTATCAAAAATCCTACGTAGGAGGTGTCTGAGATGTCCCTTTCTTATATGGTAACACTAGATGCCTTATATTCTCTCTTATTTATGTCATCATTATTAGTTTCCCCATTAATTTTTGCTTTTGACCTTTTCTGATCTTCCTAATGAGTTTTATAGGATAGTTATTTGACACCAACGATTCTTCTATCTATTTCATTTCATCATTTAGCTCTTTTTTGTACTACTTAGTGCTACTGCTTGGTTTGTCAGACACTTAACTAAACACGCCTTAACAGTTAACTGATGAGATGAATTAAAGTCTAAATATCTATTAGGATGCGCTGCTTTTTATAAACGCTAGTGTGCACTTTACCTTCTGTTCGTTTTATTTTGACAATCTAACATAGTTATTTGTCCTTGTCCATTTTCCGATTCAAATGTAAATTTTATTCCCTATACTAGTGAGTTTGTATATGTGAAGAAGCTAGAGATATGTTATGTTTTTAACACTGTGAAAGTGTCATCCACACATCTTCAATGGATTTATGCTGCGTAGCATTTCTTTGTAGCGTTGTTAGGTAAGCATTCACTAGTGGATATTTCCTTTAACCTTTTCCAGTCAGTCTGTGACTTGTTAAAATCCTTCGTTGCCACTCAAATAAGTGTGTACATCATGTAGTTGAATAGTGATGCACGTTTACTTCCCCATCATTTCAAGTCTCATTTAATTCTTAACTTTCTTCTTTAGAATAAAATTACTTTTATTGGTTGTATACAGCTGTAAGTATGCTGAACACAACTGATGTATTTTATGGTTTCTCACTTTTATTTCCTTCTAAACCAGACGAAAAATAAACCATGCGCAATTTTCATTTCACAGTGTTTGAAAACAGACTGACGAATGATCACTATAACATTTCATATTTCTCTGAGGTTCAAACACGAGGACTTACAACAGTTGAATTTTTCTTGATAATTTAAAGCCATAAGCGTCAGTAATAAATTGCTGTTCATTTCGTACGACAGACAAAGCAATAACCTGTAAAACGAGGGATTATTTTATGTTGTATTTTTGTGATCACTTACAACTCAGACAAGTCGATTTCTACTGACTGTAAGCCTTTATAAATAATATTTCTTTCCTTTTCTAAATCTCTGCTAGATTTAACATAGGTCTTATGTAGAGTATAATAAGAAGCATGACCAGTCAAACCATTTTCCTACTTCACGACAACTCTATTCAGCAAGTCTTGTATGAGAAAATTGAGAGAATATGTGAATATTATATCCTCAAAAATAATTTACCGACCGATGTGTCTCAACTGCCTGAATTTCTGCCACGTAACATCATCCAGAAGTTTAAATAATGATACAAGCGTCAAAGCAGAATTTACTGCACACCCATACCCTTCTACGCCTATCTACGATCGACACCAGTATACTAAAAATGCATTGTGCAAGTGTTCTGTTTAATAAAACCATGTGGAATAAATGACCACCTAAATTTCAAGTCGCAGTAAAGTTAAATTAATCCTTACCGTCTAATAGAATTTCAATAATCAGTAGAATGAAGTTATTAAAACACCACTAGAATATAGTTGGCCAATTATATGATTGAAACGAATTGATCATCAGGTGAAAAACAGTCTGGCCATCTTTAGAATTGACAATAATGCATCTAGAAACTTGTGATTTTCCCAAAAGTTGTACAATACGATGTTCCTTCGTGAAACCGAAAGATGGTTATCTAGTATAAATTATTAAGCTATTAAAAAAGAAAGAAACGTGTGTGACGATGTCGACTCATAATCCAGTCACTGTGGATATCTATTTGAAGTCAACATCCTTAAGTTATCAGGAGCTCAGAGCAATAATATTCTGTTGTGTATCATTTGTTATTTATTGAAATGGAGTTGAAGTATTCATTATATATATATATATATATATATATATGATCACACTCCACACAGTGAAAAACGTATCATTACTTACCTAAAGTTTTAGTAGATAAGTGTGTTGAAATTTTACTCAGTATCTTGCCCTCTTCAGGGCACAGTATCGCTAATGAACCGTTTGATGTCCCAACTAGAAACAGCAAGATGACTTGAGGCTGTAAGTCGTTTGAGTCTTCGTTTTCTAAAAATGTCTTAAAGTAGTCTGGACAATGTACTGGATAAAGTAGTAGTGGCCCAGAATAAAGTGCACTGTCTTCGGCTGACTTCCAGACATAAAGTAAACTACACGGTCGACTGCATGTAGAAAATACAGCAATAGTTCCATTCTGTAAATGCAGGTAAAATATTATCATTCAGAATTAGTTACCCAACTGTTGGAAATATTCAACTCATCCATTACGAAAGGCGTATCTATAATGAGATTTTCAATGCTTAGTATTGGTCAGATTAGTATTGAACAAATACACCAGCGATCAAGTAATATGATTTCATATGAATTACAATATAGGGGTCATTGACTAGTGTAATATACACTGATTTTTGTCCATATCATCTTAGTTAATCACTTTTATTTCGAAACTTGATTACTAATATTACGAAAGAAAGTGCATAAAGTAGTTCTTACTGTAGCCTTAAATGCATCTAGTCAATTATTACACAGTCATAACGGAGATGTAAGAAGGGAAATTACCCAGTATCATAACACAACAATGTCCAAGAGTTTTAATTTAACTAGCTTTGTGAAAGAAATCTAATGGCCACCATTAACCAAAATTAGTGAAAAGTGATTTATACATAACCGCTTAAAATTAGTGAGAAATATTCCGGAGTTTCTTTTAATTAGAAGGTCAGAAGGCCCAGGAATTAAGAGAGTTTATGACACGTTTGGTTATTTATATTCTGAAATACTACGAAAGTACTTCATATGGAACTTAGATAAACATATATTGGCCAGTAACTTTTTTCAAAATAACACTGAGAAAAAGACAGAATTTAAGGGATAAATTCATTCTGATAGATAATATTTATTCGATTTGCGTATGGAAAAAAAAGCAGTTTTAGTTTAATACGAAAATTCACCAATCTAATGGTGATTAGTCTGCTAAAAAATAATCAGTCAGTATCAACATGTCGGTTTACAATAAATAAACAATAGAAAGTCGGATACCACTGAAATTCACAGTTATATGAGGTGCCCAAAGCTCAAAGATACCGCACACTTATGAGTATAAAGCCTTACAAAAACTAATTGCAGGGTTTGTTTTCGATTGACTGCTAACTTCTGACGTCCCAACACAACATCGTGGGATAGTGTGTAGACAGTTTTCATTGTCCACTTGCACTATATGTGCACAAGACTTTCACGTGGTATTTATCTCACAGATAATGTGTTTTATTGTGTGATTCTAACACATACTGAATAAGAAGATTCATACATGTAGAATAAAGTAGGGCTTAGTATATGCAGTTTTCACTTCTAAGAAGACTGCTTTTATTCATCAGTTGGGACCTTAGAGACAAGTTTAAGTAATTTTTTATTTGCTTTGTTGAGGTTAATTGATTATTTACAGCATATCAGCATATACTGAAAGGTATAGTCTTAAGACAAAACTAGGCAAATTTTATGTTACTTGAAGTATGGATATATGTTATTCTCTTCTAGTGTACTGCTTAATGAAATGTTCCAGTAAGAATGCACTCGTCCACTTGATAGTCATCACAGTAAGAGAAAAAATTGTCAGTTCTTTTCCTTATCAGTACGCAGTTGTATATGGTACCTTTGTTTTATTTTTAAGTGATTAAACAGTTTTTTGTAGAAAATAAGAAGAAAAAATCTAGAAATAAAAAAACTTACACTTTGTAAGACGAATAATTTTTCCAACATCCAATGCCATACGGCATCTTCCGCTGAGTCTTCACATACGGCTGTTGTTATGATATATCCAGTTGGTGTAGAGATTAAATGTATGCTTCCTGGCTTTCCATCACACACAACAACTGCTATGTTAATTGCATCAGCTTTTTCAACTTGGTTGCAGTCAGCCGGCTGTTGCAATTCTAAATTATCTACATTGTATACTTCATCCAGCTGAACAAATGAAATATGTCTGACTGTTTGCGGAAACTCTGCTAATGGCGAGCATGGCTGCTTGAAGTAAAGAAAATGGAAAAGGACAAAGTAATTTTGAATACTGTGATTTTAAATGTGAGCTAAATAAACGCGGACTCAAATATAAGAAGCATTGCAAGGGCTTAAGGAACAAAATTATTTTAATGTGGCAAAAATCACCATATAGGCATTTAGAAGGCCAAAGTACTGAGAGAAGAAACATTTACTGTTCAATTAGATCCTCGTCTATAGCCCTACTCTAATATAAATAGCAACTTTGATGCAATACAGAGGTTTCAGACACTTATTCCCATTCATGGAGATGAATAAAGCAAAAACAACGGTTTGTGATACCATTGTTTATTCCATCGGCTTCTCATCAGCTGCGTACGGCCTAAAAAACCTAGTTTGCGTTAATGCACAGTGCAGCTTTAAAGTACTTGAAAATGTGATATAATTTCAGTTGACAAGAGACTTCAGACATAATAATCAGTGATCATAAATTACATTTATATCACTTGTGCATAGAAGGTGTAAATTTAAACAAAAGTAAACCCAAAATAAATAATAATGAATATTTGGATACACTAGGAAAGGAGTTGCACAGTAAAGACAAGAGGTGAATGAGATGGTGTGTAACTAATAAGTTGCGTAACAATGTCTTGGGTGCAACTCAAATTATGAAAATAAAAGATAGGCAAAACTACATTATAGTAAAGTGGAAGGTGTTGAACGCAGAGATTACGTAACAAATAGAAAGCAGTATAAAGACATCGAGTTACTAGGTCAAAGAAAGTCTCATAACTGATTCTTTCTTAGCACATAAACCGGGTTTTAAACGTTTGATAGTGGCTGCCTAGGGAAAACCTGAGAAGTATTGCTAATCTTAAAAGATTTCAGAGTGTCCACCTTATGGTCCATATCAATGAGATGCCTGGCAATGGTACTACTGGAAGAGTTTGTTCCCTTTTTTGTTATATGGTATATGTTCAAAGAATCTAAGGAGTCTTCTTCTTTCTTTCCTCCCTCTCTAAGTGTTGCTGCAGATACATTTAAAAATATATAAATAGTTAAAGCTAATGTAACAGCAGAAGGCAAGACATGGAAGCAAAGGTCTTTTTTCCATTGATCAAACTTATATACATATACATCACTGAGTGTGTGATTTTGGTCTACATTAAACGACATGAAGTAGAATGTTCAAACACACATTTTATTTTGTTGCCAATGCAATATTGAACTGTGGGAATATGTGAGAATAATATTCCGTTGGAAAACATCGTCTCTATCACACCACCACACTAACATAAAATGGATATCTGTAGACCATTGGCTGCATCAAATGGCATGTTGCCCGATAGACAGGAACCAAGTTAGCTGCAGGATAGGTTCCCCCTAGTGTGGCATTCAGTCTTCTATCGACTATTCCTGCAGTATTAACACCTCTGAAATAGAGCTGCCTTGTAAATGGGTCTCAATACCACTGTGATTTGGTTCACACTCAAACCTTCACATCTCCTGTACTTGTTAAGGAATTTCTGAGGGTGAACATTATTTTTCAACATCTCACGAATCAGTAGTACTTTTGTTAGTGTCTCAGTGTAGCATATTCTTCTGGCTCTGTAAAACAGAGTTCTGACCAATGCTGGTTTATAGAAAATTGAAAAGAGAAACTTTTGAAGTTTAAGTTTTATCCCTTTTACGTAGGTTTTGAGTGAATGGACATCTGGAGACCGTCATCTCCTAAATGTTGCAATTTGATGTCAAGAAAATCAAATTTTCATTATTTTATTATTCCGTGGTGAAGTCAGTATTTACATGTGAGCCATTAAAGAATCCAAGCAAGTAGGATGCATGACGTTTTTGTCCTATACTACTACTACTACTATATACATGCAAAAAACTGAAAATTTCTTTAATCCATTTACAAGTCATCATTTTGCCATTCTGACTTCTTCATGTTTAACTGCTTATCACGTAGTCAGTTTGAGCACTTGTCTATTTCTTACTTACTCCTCTTAATTTTCCAAAGTTGTGCATTGTGTAATCCCCTTACTGTTGATCAGATTTGAAATATAACTGCCAGTTTTACCACATTATGTTACTGGAAAATGTGCAACTCAAACGTTTTATAGTCACTAAGTTGGATGAACAGATATCTAGTTGAAAAACAGGGAAGTAAATCTGTTTAGCTGTGTTGTCAAGTATATATCCAGTGTTTCATTTCTTTCTTACTTCCGTACTAATTTCTGAGACAAAAAGTCTACAGAAATGGAGACATTTTATTAATGGCATCCAAGTCTTCAAGAAGTTTAAATATGTAAATTAAACTATAAGTGAGATTTTTGTCCAGTGTAGTGCTAATCCCCAGGCTTTTGTGGTAACTGTAAGGAATCGCTGATATTTACACTTTCACAGAACTTAATTTAACTATACACCGACCAAATAAAACAAATTGTTAAGTACAGGTCACTCATATCTACCAGTAAATAAATTATTTTTATTATGTTATCAAGTTGTAAACATATTTCATATCTAAGTAATGCTAACAAAGGTAAAGATATTTCTTGTATCCACCTACATGGCTATTACTTTTTAATGAAACGTAAACTGGAGACTATAAACACCAAAATACATGTGGCGGAGGAGGGGCTTGTTCCACTATACTTCGCCTAATCTTATCATATTTTAGTTTATCAAACGTTTCCACGAACTAAATAAATGATTTGACTTTTAGACACATGCATTTGAGTTGTATTGCTACCTGGACGTTTTCGTTTTTGTTGCTGTTTACTTCTGTGACTGCTAATGTTGTTACTTACTATTTTGATTCCACTACACATACTTTCTTATCCAAATTCTGAAGAGGTGAGATGTGTCATGTAACTGTACACCATCTCATTTTGTTGATTTATTCCCTCAATGTTAAGCATGAATTCCTAAAACTCTAACAAAAAACTGCAAACAACGGAGCTGAAACTCCTGAATGCCAACAGTGTTCTGGGTTCTAAATATTTCTAAAAGTTACCATAAAAAGTGGTAATATAAGTGATAGACTGGTTACGGTAAAGTTAAAGGAAATTTTAATAATGATTCCGCGGTTTGATCTCAGGATGTCGAAATCAAGTCTCAGTTGTCTGATCATTTACACAAATATCATATAAAATAGGAATTTAATTTAGCTATGGACAGCAATTTATGTTAGAGACGTCATCTAGTCAATACTACTTCACAGTATGATATATATGTATATTTATATAATAAATAAATAAAACTGAATTTATCATTCACTACTACAGTATTTCTTAAATGCATCGTTTACGAAATGCTACTGGTAAGAAAAGATTTCCTTCACCGTGTGATATTCATTGAGTAAGAATCTTTACAATAGTCATTTTGTTTGAACCAGACAAAAGTTAAATAAATTTAAATTCACATTACTTCAGATAATGTCCAGTGTTCCAAATAGTACTCTGTTTGACCTTCTGATTTCCAGTCATCTCCTGTCTTAACTCCTATGAGAACAATATTGCCCGTGTGTTGTATCACACATACGCCATAGACCTCATGAATATACTTTGATGAATTTTTGTTTTCTGACAAAATGCTTGAATATAAATTCATAAGTGCTTGTCTGGAATCCACTTCCATCATGCTGTTCGTCTGAACATCTCTGACAGTCCCGTTTGTCTGCACATCATCAGAAATTAATTCGTTGCTTCCTGGATTAATGCACTGTGATTGCCAAAACTGCCAACACTTCATCGTCCCATCCCTGCTTATTGAAATAAAACTCGGTGATATATAGTGAGATGCGTGTGGCCTTATTAAATCCCATCTGTGAGTGGAAAAATGAATTATTTCATTCAAGTGACTATGAAATACTGCCAGCTGAACTTGATCTATGTTCCATGTCTGAAAATGAAAATTTTAGGATTGGCGTTAGTTTAATTTCCTCGAATTAGAGGTTGAATATCTTAAGCCTCCACTACCACTAAACTACAACACAGTGATTTTGCATTAACGATGAAAGATAACAATCTACAAATCCCATTTATACACTTGGGAGAAAGAACAAATTGGGTGAAGAAATATTTTTCTTTTCAGTTAGATTCTCATCAATGACTCCACAGTAATACATAATTTTACATTGAAATTATACCCATAAGTGAATGATTGTGTGATGGCCTGTCGCCAACCCCTATAAGTAAACTGGTGGTGTTGAATTCCGTAACTATTTGCACCTCTCCTATACCTTAAAACGGATATTTGTTATTGTCTGATACCACCACATGATCGGTATAATTTCAATGTACAATTATATGTTGTTATTATTATTGTTATTAATGCTTCTTGATTGTAGCGTCGAAATAGATGGCATTCTTATACAGTGTCAGTTAAGGAAATGCATTGTGATCTATGCCACACAGGTTTATCAAACTTCTGAGTAAAACAATCTGTACTTGTGCTAGAAAACTGTGTTTCAGTAGACGACCGAGTAGTTTGGATATCATTCAACGATTTCGTCAGTGTTACTGTAGACGAATGAATGGTGTATGTCGAGAGCTGAACGTCAGATAGAAATAGAATGTGTTTATCTGACCATGGAAATATGAGGTTGTGTACAAGTGGATGAACAGTCGACAACTTATTACTTTAGAATAGGTGTTTAACTCATTGCAATTTGTGTGTTGTTTTCTGCTGACCAGGTTGAACAATATCCATTGAATTACACATTTATGTTGGATAAGATTATAAGGTGATGAACTGAAATATGAAATGAATGCAAAACATTTGTGACCGTAGGTTGTTAGGTTTGGCTTATAGAAATTTTCTGAATGTATTATTAGACTCTTGCAGATATGGCTCAAAATCCCTCCTAATGAGGCAAATGTATTTACTTCTCATTATTTTTGGGATTCCGTGCATTTTCACCAGTCTTCACTTAATTGCTTTGCCCAAACACATGTTTTCCGATTATGGTAGAATTTTTTTACTTGTCTTTTCAGTTTGTTGTACTGTTTTGACTTGCCAAAACTGTACCTGTTTCACTTGGTGCAGAGATGGTTCTGTTTCGCTCAGTTTGCCTTACATAATTACTAAATCTTTTGCCTAACATATTAGTGAATTAATCATACTGTATCGAGTTAGCAGTGTGATGTCGTGTTTTAAATGTTAAATGGGTTCTTTAGATAATGATTACAATTTTTCCTTCATTATAGCTGTGCGCTATTTTAGTGTCAGGTGATTAGTTAGTATCAGCAGAATATTATGTGTAAACACATGATATATTTTAAAACTTTGTGAAAGGAACTGTTGACCATTTTCCTATTTTCAGATACACTTATACAGCACTGACTTCCTATCTATCTATCTAGGGGAAAACCATGTAGATAATGCATTGTATGACCTATCAGCTTGTTTCCACTTTGGTATAAGATTATGCTTGTTGAATGTTTTTCCGCATGATTTAAATCATATGTACAGAAATAACCATTGCAGAATAGAGACAGGACTTCACCAAAATGTTACTGTATAACAATGGCCTGGCAGAAGTTAGAATTCATGGGCCATTGGATTGGGTCCCAGTGGCTTAATGGTCTACGAACTCGCCTTGTAACCGGCAGGTTCTGGTTTCGAACCCTAATTGTGGGTGCGTGCTGATGAAGAACCCCAGACTAGGACGTAGAAAACAGCTGTACAGTACTCCCAGGTTTTCCAATGGTTCTGTAACTGATGTCAGCTCATAATGAAATCACACGAAATCTCTACAAAAAACCAATACTTGAAGATTTGATATCTATTAAATTCTATTGATATGCCAGAATAAATTCAAGCAATCCAAAAGCAATATATACATAACTTTTCTTCTCAAATATGGTGAGCAATATCTTATCAAAGAACTAAGACTGGATGCATCTCATTATGAAAACAGCTTTATGATGACGTATTAACAACTATTGCATTCAAGGATATTTTCATACATAAATGTACAATGTAACAAGTTTTATGCACTAAGGTACTTTGATGAAATTGATGATGCTGCCAATTGAAGAAACATACCTTTATTGTTCCGCACATATCACCAGTTATTAAAATTTCCAGTGGAGTGAAAAATAAAACGGATGAAATTTGCGAATTATGGTTGATAGTTGTCTGTTGAAATGTTTTTAAATCCAGAGATTTAAAGGTTTTCTCGTCATCGTCACAACCACAATCATAATATTTAGAAGTGAAATGGTCATCACATGGTATACATCGTAACCAGGCTGAATACTTCCAACCAAGCAGCAGTCGGAGGTTCCGATTACTTTTTTCTTCAAAACTGATTAGTTTTGAAGGAAACTGATAGTTTTCGAGGAGTTTTCGTAGCAAAGGACACGAAACAGTTTGTTCAGATACCTCATCGCAATGTTCCTGAAATCTTTGCAGTGGAATAAAACTTTTTAACATTAAGATTGGTACACACTTGTCAGGGATTAGTTTAGCATTAGTAAAATGAAATCTCCAGTGTCTTGCAAATATGACCCAACATACATCATTTGAAAATAGTGAAATTGACTTCAGTTCCAACGAAATAATACTACCTGAATTTGAATTCGAGAGGACACCAACCAAGGGGTTCTTAGTTGTAGATGGAACTCCAATATTCTGGAAATAGTAAATTAATAAACTTTAACTGTATTATCCAAAGCAAAAAGTATAAAAGTAGTTCAGTATAATTTAAACTGCGTCGGTGGTGTAGCGGTTAGGACGCTCACCGGCCATACACATGGTCCGGGGTTCGATCCCTGGCCAACACAGTCCTTTGCCTCGCTAAGCCAGAAATAATCCCAGTGAAGAGGAAAGGTTGGGCATTAGGCTAGTAAAATAAACACTGCTACAGAAACTTCAAGCCACTAGCTTGAGGCCCTATGTTCCACTGGGGAACGTGAAGTGAAGAAAAATAAAATAATTTAAACATGGGAATTCAACTGAACAGTGAATGAGAGAGGCAGACCCTTTTTGTCAATATACGTACTGTTTATACGCAGCGGTTAAACGCTTTTTTATTCTAACAGCCGTTTTGAACAACAGTTTCTCTGATAGGTAGGTAGGTAGATGAAATAATTCACAACTTATTTCTGTTTGATGTGGAATGGTCTTATGAAAAACATATTCAGACTTCACTCTCACATGCACTGGAAATCAAAGCTGCCATGCAGGTCAGTATAAAGAAGACTGGATAAATAAACAGTTTCCGCTTTATTATCAATTACATCATAATATAGTGTATCATATTAGACGTTAGAAGTCATTTGGTAGAAAACACTGTACCCAGGTTTTATGCTTGTTGACATTCACCACTAAGAAGCTTCTGCAATCTGAGAAAAATTCATCCTTCCAACTAGATTTGAAGCTGCATAACCTGGTACAACAGCAACAAATTTATCGCCGTAAAGTTTAGGTCACAACTGACATCCTATAGGACTATTTATTTACGCAAACTGGATTTAGTCCAAAATCCTTTCATTGAAGTCCTGGCATCTTTTTCTTGCAATCAGACCACTAAATTAAGTGAGAGACACTGGAATAGACTTCCCCACATATCAGTTAGAAAAATTCAACTTCAAAGGCTAGACAACCATAATGTCTACCAACAAGCAGCGGGTCAGTCTAAATCTTAAGATATTGAACATTATCATGGACACCTTAGGTTGACTACAAGAAAACTTCATCTCGAATATATTCTTGTTAGAAGATTCTTGTCAGTGGAAGGTGTCACAAACAGTTAGATTTAGTTCTATGCGAACATATCTTAATTGTGGAACAGCATATATCCAAAAAGTGGTAGCGATTTCTAACTGAATATAGCATTACCAACAGTATGATTAAATCAATGAATGAGAACACATCTTCGTGTTATGCATTTTGGGGTTGGTTATCAACCGCTTGAGGCTAGGAAGGCCATTTGTATAAAAGCGATACCCCAGCTACTGAAACTTCGAAGCCGGAAACCCTACGTTTCACTCGGAATGCAAAGGTGTTATTATCTTTATTTATTTAATGTTAACTGCTCGTTGTACAATATTGTTTGATGCCTTGGCGTTACTTTTTTAACTTTGTTTTACACTTACACAGGTATAGTAAAGTTTTTTGGCACGCATACTTTCTCCCTTCCAGTAATCCTTGGTGAAGTGACTGACTACATTCAGTAGTAAAAAAAATCTCATTAAGTGATAAAATGAGGTCGAAAGAATTATAAGAAATAGGAAAGAAGTATAAAATTGACTTTGAAATAAATGAAGATATTTCTGCCTTTTATTTCATAGTATACTTAGGAAAAATGAACAACTGAAGTATGTTTATTCACATGAACTGTGATCAAGATTTGACCGTATAGTTCCAAAACAATCGGGCGCTGAGTGAGAAGTAGACATTTGAAAAAATTATATTTGTAAAATCTCAGCAAAACTGAAATGATTAATTCCAACGTTTCGCTCGGCAAACTGGTCCGAAATTAATCGACATTAACAGAAGAGAGGGTCACATATAAAAGGACATCTCTTGTTTTAGATGCACAGCTTTTTCCTGAAAGAACAAGAAGAGGTTGAAATTAGTAAAGAACAGGAAGTCGGAAAATCGGATGTGCTGCGAATTCCTTTGTCTACCTAAACGAGTAACCATATTCGAACGCGACCATAAGCACTCAGTTAGCTGTTTTATCCTAGTTTGGGATCCATGATCTAATTAGAGACTAATTAATTCCCTGCAAACCAACACACAGTACCACTTAAAGAAAGTATAATGATAAGGCCAATGTTTTAAAGTTGGATGCTAAATTGTATTTTTATTAAATTGTTCCTGCTTTTAGTTGGATAGAAAAAAAAGTTCTAGAAGGGAAATATTTTTCCTTTTTCGGCCACTAACTTACTTCAAAATTTTCATAAGACAGAGGAAACAAACTATTGCCACCCGGTTTCCAGCCAATAAGAAGATTCATTTTCGACGCATAAGCTAGTCGATTATAACGTGGTGTGGGATTTCTGTTTGCTGAAGAAAAGCAATAATATCAGGAAAAAGTGAAGACAAATCTCTGATTAGGTAATTGGCTATATTTGATTTACGAAATTTTAGGTTGCCTGCTTATAAACTCAGGTTACTATAAAGTCAAGATATTCAGTAAATGCCTACTTATTTAGGCCAAATCACTAGGAAATATTGATCAAAGAATGAATAACAGCAAAAAGTGAATTCGTTGGTAAACTCAGAAGTTGACTAGACAGAATATTGAATACATTCTTATGATATAGTCTCATGATGAAAAGCATGAATAGAAAATTCCAAATTTCCGAGAAAACTTGATGGTTGTTAGAAGTATGATCTAGGTATCATTAATAATGTTTGAAGCTCGAACCTAGACATTATATACACCAAAGAAAAAATTGGTGTAAACTAGTATTTAGTGTTTTTGTTGTTGTTGTCTATGCTGACTAGAATGAGCCTCCAGTCATGACACTGTAGCCAACTGATCACTCGAAAATATCCCACACACTGAGTAGACATACAGAAGTCAAATCTTAACTAAGACAACAACTACAACTTTATTATTCACAATCCACAGTATATGTCGTCCACACATCAACGGAAATTCCATACAAAAACCATAGATAAATAATAAATATCTGATGGGTCGCATCTCTCATGACTTTACGCCTAACAATGTTAATTATTCCATCCTGACACAAATATATTAAATAAAAGACTGAAATCTCAATGAGACCAATGGTATGACATGTAAAAAAATATCAAGCGCCGCAAATCCAACGTTTCTAGATAATTTTATCCGCTCAGCGTGATCTTATTTATATCCAAATTCCAGCTACTAAACTTCGGATTTCTATGCAGATAAGAGGACTCAAAAACACAAATCTATCGATTACCTTCAGTGTGAACGAAGCTTGCCTCACAGCTAAACATTCCACAGTGAAGTGGTGTACAACCAACTATTCGCATCCTTATCAACATCAGCTGGCGATAAATATGTACAGGACAAGTGCAAACTACAAGACTTTTATTAATAACTAACTTCACAACGTAGGAGTTTGCTCAGTTTAAACTGCCACTTTTCGGAAAACCACATATAAAAATAAGAAGAATACTACGAAACTGCATGTGCTCGATTATACTTACGCGTTAGAATTCTACTTTTAGGGATAATTAAATATTTCACAAACTGATTGAAGTTTCCGATGACACGCCACTTTGTTGCTTTTCTCTAAAATGTTAATCCCTGACACACCATAGTCGAACAGGTTAACATTCAACAAAGGTTTCTAATATGAATTTGAATAAGAATTGTAGCAGTGAACACCTCTAGCAGAAAACAGTTGTCGTTGTCACGTTAGATCGCTACTATCTCACACAGTTGCCTGAGTTCGACCATTAAGAAAACAACAATCACACAGAGTCGCAGAGCTTCTGTATCGATGGGGTCACTTCAGGTCAAGAAATACTGTAAGTGTTGGAAGCTGATAAATGTACCTCTATTCTAGAACCTGTTGAAAGGTTAAAATGCTATCAGTGTCCCTTCAGGTGAGCCCTCATAATCTTCTCATTTCCAACTTACTCGAGACATAATTAGTCTTCAAAGAAGTATAGGAATCAGAAAATTAAACACTGTGTTAAGAAAGGTAATCCTGATGTGATTATCAAAAGAATATTTCTTTCTCTTCTTATAAACTGGAATGATCAGTGATCATCACCAATCCGATAGAATTATTTAGAATTCTGATGTACTAATGAATACCTTAGTTGATCCATTTAATAATTCGCCCTCTCCCGATCATTAAAAACCTCTAGAGTCATAGCTTCAAGTCTTAGTGCTTCGCTTAGTTTTAGATGAGATAGATTTTGCCGCCTCAGCAACAGTTAGTGGACCGATCTCTACATCCAACTCATGTTGGGGTTGGACGGTGAACAGTTATAATGCAACGTTCTAATCGTCTCTGTTGAGAAGATATTAAACGCCTATTATTTCCGCAGATCAGCTCACTTACCATAGCATTTTTATAACCCTCTTCCTCAATCACTCTATAAGCCAGTTATAAACTGATTATAAATTTATAAATCAAGAAATAATTCAAAATTATTTTGCACCATGCTTTTGATGCAAACTTCAGCATTTTGGGGCACTCACATTCTAAGTATTGAGCAATTACCATAGGTTTTGAAAATAACGGTAAAGAGCAGAAGTTCTCTCAAAAATTTCATATTTAACATGGTTTTACGATGATTGATCGTAATCTTTTACAAACAATAGTAAATATGGTTTTGATGCCCACTTCAGTGTTTAGTACAGACCGTTTCACATCATAATCTTCTGGTGAGGATTCAATGAATAAAATTAACTCATGTGACTGAGATCAGTTTGTTAACGTACCTATTATTATGATGAATATGAAATTGATAAGATTACTTATCAAAAACAACTGAGATTAGAGCCTTTAACGTAAACACAAAAACAAAAAATACATTTACCATTTTCATTCTCCATCGGTATCATTACTTCACTTGTTAGACTGAAATCTCTAAGATCATATATTTTGATGGAAGTGCTTGTAACCAGAATCACTCGATCTTTTATATCGGGTACATAAATTATCTTAAAAATGAAGATAATTGAGTAGTCAGTAGCATATAATGAAATTTTAGATAGCTTAAGTAAATTTTCGTTTGATTTAGTCAGAAAATTTGTAAATATATTTTTTTTCTTTGTCTACGGTAATTTAATTTCGTCTTTTTCGAGATTTATATGTGTTGTTAAGCATCGGAAGATATTGGCAAGCTTGCTAAGGCTTCAGTGTTAAGTCTGACAGTGAATAGCATCTTTCAATAGAAATTAGCCAGTGGAAACTTTCATTATTATTTGGGAAACAAATTTAGTTCAACATCAGTAGGAACAGATCTGTTGAACCGAACTAGAACTTACCTCTTGTTAGAGACAAAGGCCTCAATTTTTGAACAAGTGGTATTTCCAAGTACTTCAGTTTTTGCTTAAACTGGGTGTCATACAGTTTTGAAGTATAACTCTACTTTCGGAAGGTGTGAAGTTACTTTGGTTTCCCTCTAAACGGCTAGAAGACCTAATATTTTCCAGCATTCATGCATAAGAAACCACAAATATGAGGGTTTGGTGAGCTTTCATGTTGGAGTGAATATATCGAGGATGCTCATCCACCCCTTTTTGCTTAAATTTATCTGAACTTCTTGTCCATTTTGTAATTATTACGTTTTTAATTTCTAAATGGACAAAAAAGCCTGTTTTCAAATTCATCATGATCCTGCTGTTTTTTGTTCGATCTTTCTGTTTATTATACTTCACAGTCTTATTAATCTGACCCTTAACCGGAAATAGTTCTGGAATTTTCTCTTCCATTTGCCGTAAATACACGACTGTACGGTCTAGTTGATGACCTCACCAAGAAGAACATTTTCTTCGCTCCAACCGTCTTTTAATATTTTCTAAGGTCTAATGTGTATATTCTGAAATTTACAACTTTTTTGCTTATGGAGATCATATGTGACTACATAGAAATTTGCCTTCTCGGCAAAGACACCATTTGAATTAGAGTACGCAGATATCATAATCCCAGCGTATGAAGACACCATCACGAGATAGAGCTTTGCGAATGCACTAAATGGTAATCTGAGAATGTTTAAGTTCCGTTTCTCAATCTTTGAGCATAAATTTCTACATTGGCTCTGATTTGAACAGATGATATGTGCGAAGTGGTTATTTGATTTAACGAATCCACCTAACTGGAAAGTTGGTTAATTAGTTGATCATATATCTCAGCATGAAACAGACTGCTCATTTGATTTCGGATGAGTTCCAAGTTTAACAGTACACATAGTATACTAGACTTTTACACTTGAGGAGGAGTACAATAGTAACAGTGCACTTTTTCAGCATCCTGGTAATATAACGTGACCACTAGATGTGGCGTGACAATGGAAACTTCAGGCACCTGGCTAACATTGCTTTCGTAGTATTGTCTGCAGTAAGTCGAACCACTAAGTGAACACTGTATACGTTAGCCGTGGATTTCTGAGTGAGATTACTAAGACAGATAAGGAGAGTACAAACTTCCTTCCTCATATTCACAACCCGTTTATTTGTACCGTTGCACTCATAATATATGCTATAGCAGTGTATCAACTGATAATAGTTGAGAAGTTTCTGAATCCTAAATCTGTGATTTTTATTAATCATTGTAAACGTTAAAGCGAAACAAGTAATGAAAGGATTAAGATTTATTTTGCCAGCAAGTATTTGCTGAAAACCTTCTTAAAGATCAATAGCTTGTTAGAATTTGATGACCTCAGATTGTGCTGAAATTCAACCATGTGTTCTGAAACACTGCTCAGAAGCTTTCTGCGGGCATTTATGTAACATGTTCCAACATTATATCGGTTAACAGAAACTGACAAAGGAGTGCAAGTGAGCCATCCTTTATCCAATCTTCAGGGCTGGGGATCTGCAAAGCACAACAAGTTGCAGAGCAGTGCCGATGATTCCAGTGGTATCGAAGGTTTTGAAAAGCATGATTGACGACCATATCAGGCAACACCATGACAGATACAACATACTTCATGAAGTACACCATGGTTTCAGGCGTCGTAGATCCAGTGCAACAAATCTGTTATTAGAATACAATGACTGGACATCGTACTACAATATGCATATTTCGGTCCACGAAATATTTCTAGAATGAGAGATGGCAGTTGACACCATCCAACAACACCTTCTACCTCACAAAATAAGTCAGGTGAGTATTGGTGGCCCAGTTCCGTTATGTTAGAAGGACTAAGTAAACGCAAGATAATCCTAGAACAAAATGAATTGGGTATGATCATTCTGGCAAAGTTTAGCGTCGCACGTTTTACAGGGTCCAA